CCCGTCGCTTTGTATTAGGGCATTTAGGGAACATCGTTTCGTCAAACAGCGCAGTAGGCTGAGTGACTATACTATTATTGGCGCGCATGAACTTGAAACCATGGCCGCCATCAGCGACACCAATATAAGTCATCAGCTCAGCTTTAGGCGATAACTTATTGGGTCTGGTTTCCTTTGGCAGGTAGACATACGCTCCGCATCCAAAGACACGTAAGTGCTTGATGTCGGGAGCTTCTTTGTTCAGGACCTCGTAAGGAGTCAGCCATTGATGGCGCTTCAAAGGGGTCCGGTTGTAGACGTGAACAGCATGGTCTACTGCAAATTCCCACCAAGATGGAGGTGAGCAGGACTCTAGCCGCATTGACTGCGCTTTGTCCATTATAGTCCGAATAAAGCGCTCAGCGCGACCATTCTGTTGGTGCGCATAAGGTGCGCTCTGTCGGATTTTTATGCCCTCATCTCTGAGCATCTCGATGAATGCATCAGATTTATACTCTCCCCCTGCATCGGACATCCACTCCTTAATTTTCCTGCCATATTGATTTTGTATGTAGGCAAGAAATTGGCGAGTCTTTGCAATTGCAGCACCCTTGGAGCGCATATGCATGACCCATCCATAGGAGGTGTAATCGTCAAAGAAGACGATTGTGTACCGGTACTTATGGTAGGAGTCTACGGGAAAAAACTTAAGATCCGAGTGAATCAACTCAAACGGTTCTTTAGCCCGTAGAGTGGATGGCGGGAAAGCCTTAGAAGGCATTTTCCCTTCCGCGCATCCAGGGCATACTGGGTCTTCCGAAGGAAACTCCAGGTTGGTGGGGAAACCTTTGGTGTGTTCCCTAGCTTGCCTCAGGACTTCCTTAGAGGGGTGTCCCATGCGACGGTGCATAATCCCATAATCGACCGCATAGATCGTTGGGAATATAGAGTACGCATCTGGTGCAGGAATTGTACTGACACTATAGATAGTGTCGCCGGGCTGCCGCGGTAAAAACCTGAATAAAGGTTCGCGCAATCCCTTTTCGTATAGACTTATGTGTTGGTCATTGCCAGACACTTTTAACTTATCCTGGAGCAATACTCCGAGTGACATGAGGCGAATATTCAGGTCAGGTATATAGTATACTGGAAATAACCGAGTGGTTATGTTCCCGACGTCCTTGATATAATAATTCAGGACCGTCGTACCAAACCCAAGTATTCGTGCAAACCCGTTCGCGGTAGACGCGGTCGCAGGTTGCTTAAATTCCTCATAATCGATGAAATCACTCATGTCATAGGTGAAATGCCGAGAGGCCCCCGAGTCGAGGATCCAGGTGTTACCCTGTTGTGCCTTATCTTTCCCCTTACATTTTGCACACGCAGCATAAGTTTGCGCATGAGTGCAATATATTAAAGCCAACGTTACAGGACTCAAGTTAAGATCTACACTACGCTGCCCTAACTGTGATGGCGCGTCAGTGGAGTCCTGTAAAGGGGAAGATAGCACGTACAAGTAGTGCTCGTCAATAAAGGCATTCTGGTCGAAGCCAGCAGCCTCCGCAATAGTGCGGTCCAGGTCTTCCTCGTCGCCGAGACTAACAGTCTCCCCCTGGTCCTTGTCACTACCCCAGTCGATGGACTGGTTGTCATCGTGGTCGCTGTCCGCAGCATCATCCGCGCGAGCGACTTCTTCAAAGCGAGCGCGCTTGGACGCGCGGCTGGAGGCGACAGAGTTGGCATCCTCCATGTCGACATCCGGGTCCGGGTCGACTTGTCCAACTAGAGCATCCAAAACCTTGATGTCTTCTTCAGTGGGACTTATATCAAGGTCCCGCGCGAGCTTGAAGGCTTTCTTGATACGCTTGTTGTTGTAGTGACTAGTATCCGCCGAAGGAGGCGGGTGGAACGGACCTTGCTCTTGGACCGTCCGAGTCTTGCTGCCGGTAGGCGCAATGTCGAGGACGTGAGCGATAGTCGGAGGAGGAAGGGAGACGGTCGAGGCGATCAAGACGTCGTGGGCATGGTGGTGATCGTGGTTTTGCCCTTGACGCTTCTTGCCTGCACGCTTGCCGCGATAAGGGCGCCTCTTCCCATCCCGCGCATTGCTGCTGCTGCCCTGAGGGCGCTGCTGCTGCTGCGAAGAAAAGGAGGGATCGCCCGGCTTACGCTTCACCGCTGAGATCTTGTGCGCACCGAGTTTCTCAGGCTTCTTGCCTTGAGACTGGTCCCAAGCAGTGGTAACTGCTTCCCGTACCGCACCTATGCCCATGTTGTCAGCAGAGGTAGCTTGGACCAGCATCTGCGCAACGTTCTCATAGCGGCTGGGGAGTGCATAAAGGCAGATTAGACCTTCAATAAGCGTGGGAATCTTGACCTTGGCCGCTTCCAAAGTGTCGAAATGTTTGGATATCTTCGCGAAGGCTGGAGCAGGGTGCTGATCCGCCGGAATCTTCGTCGATAAGGCCCCCCGCAGCTCATTGTAAATGGCGCCGAGGGACATAGACGAATAGAGGGAAGACAATTGGTCCCAAGTTTCCTTGGCCGATTTCTTATCCTTTATGTAGGAGGCGACGGCGGGAGAGCAGCGCAGACGGATCGTACCCATAGCCCTGACGTCTTTTTCCTTCCAGGCGTCAGCAGCGGTAGAGTCCCTGGTTGTACCGGAGACGACGACAGCTGGCTGGGTGATGCTGCCATCCACATTTCCCCAGAGGCCTTGGGACATAAGGTACGCCATCATTTGCTCGGACCAGGTAGGCCAGTTCGAGCCGTCGAGGACGGGGACAACAGCGATCAGATTGTTCGACATTGTTGCGGAGCAGTTGAGAGATCTGAAATCTGTATTGAGATCTCATCAGTATCAGCGAAGCTATGCAGCCTGATAAGGGCGCACTGCTCCATGCTGTTGGCTCCATTAGGGAGTTACCCCAGGATCGATCATCAAGCCTGATGGCTGCTGATAACAGCGCCTACGGCGATGATCACGCATCAAGCCACACTGCAGCCTGTGAGGGCGCATAGGGCGATGCACAGGTGAGCGAGGCGCAACGCGCTGCAGCGAGTTACCGCGCAGACGCAAGCTGCCTATTTGAGCTCATAACCTGATGAAGAGTTATGGAGGCAGCAGCACGCACAGTGCGCCCTACACAACTCACCTGTATTGGTTGGATGCTGTAGCTACTGGTAAAGCTCGTATAAACGACCCTTGTCATTAGGTAGCAGAGCTGCAGGGTTTATATACACTGTGGCCCATAGGCTGACTAAGCTACGTGGAATATCTATAATCCTACTGAGCTCCACCTATGATGTCACTGACCCACATGAGCTCCGTGCCCTGTACAATAATGGAATATACCAGAATATTCCAGAGGGTTCCGGTACATTCTGGTACGTTGTAGAACCTGGCAGCTAAGTCAGCGCCTAGTTCAACAATTAGCATAGAACTCGAAATACGAGGAATAGCAGCTTAAGCTGCAGGAAGGCCGCAGCCCCACAACACTTTCCGGAGCGAGGAGCCAATCGGAGCGCTCTGCCGACGACGGCGTGACGTTCGGCACCAGTAACACTGACGCTCGCTCCTAATGTGACACAGCCGGAAAGCAGCTCGAAAATCGTGCATATGTCTTGTTGTAACCGCTGTGATAATCAACACTGAGACTAATGCATATGATATAGATGAAGTAAATCGCCAATTCTGCGACACACCGGCAACTCCCTCTTCAATCCGTTCTGGGAGGTACGCGTTGGAGCCTGAGGAGGTATGCTTCTTTTACATTATTTTTAAATTGGTTGGATAACCAGGAACTATTTCTAGGGTGCGTTGTCCGACGTTCGTGTTGCTTTCCAACACGCAACTGGACTCCCCGGAAGTGATATCCGGCACTTCGTCACGTTCACGCCTGTTCACGCCCTTGAACGCGACCTCGCGCGCTTCAACATTATTTTAAAAACTATCAGCTGACCGCCTTACGCGCGATCCACGCGCCCGTGGGCTTCCTTGATTGCTTTGACTACGCCCTCTGGGCGTCCTCGGAGTATTATCGGCACAGCAGTGCTATAATATGACCCTCGTATCCCGAGGCTCTTCGTATTACCTATAAAGAGCAGGAGGAGATATAGTGTAAATCCCCTGCCCACAGTGTCTCGTCATGCTTGGTGCACTCATATCGGTATTGTGGGGTCTCACAGCTCTTATATTGCTCGCCAATCCCGCTGCAGCCTGGGCAGATGATGTTACCTTGTTCTATGACAATCCTCTCATCTTTTATCACGGTCGGTGGGATGTGTCCCCAGGTACCTGGTGGTATGTGTCATTCAATGCGGTTAGAAGTGCACTATCCTGATCTTGATCGACGCTTTTTTGTAGGGCAAGCTCTGGCTTCAATTTGGTCGTGGACAACCTGTCTACACTGACCTTGAACTTGGGCCCACACACGACTACTCCGCTAGTTTCCCTCGGAGTATCAGTCAATTACGACACTGTGTATACTTTCAACGCGTCAGCTGGGACCAATACTATCCCGTTATCCTCGCTTCGCTCGGGTCCTAATGTCGTGAGGATCAACGTCGAGGGGTGGCAGAATAATCGAATGAACCTGGAGAGCATCGTCCTCAACCCCGTAAGTGAAACCACATTGAGGACCAAACTTGTTAACCTTTAATCCCGTTTTACCTTCTAGGGAGCCGTGGTACTCCCATACATTCCGTCTCCCCTAGCATTCCAGTTCATTGGGGACTCCCTGTCTGCTGTGAGAAGTCCTGCACTCCATCTTAAAATAACACGTAGATCACGAATAAGGGTGTTGGCGGGTTTCAGGGTCAATACGTCCCAGAGGGTGTCGATCAAGCTTGGCCGCTCTTGACCACCGAATATTTCAAGGCGGAGGGAACAGTGAACGCTCAACCCGGAGCTGCTCTGGCCGTCAGTTACTTTCTCTGATCTGCGTGATATCAAGTCTCAACGATCTGGGTCATACAGGACATACCGGCTTGGGGCAACGTCCACGGCGTATCATACCAATTCTTCAGGGTGAGCGTATATGTTCAAATACGGCACTCAAAACCGCTTGTGACAAATTAGTATGCAGACCGAAGATACAGGATACTACTCGACCACCGACCATAATTACACGACGCCTTGGAACTTTGCGTTTGACCATCCCACACCAACGCACGTTGTGATACACATAGGGTATGCATGCCATCCTCCGCTCGCTCGGTCTAAGCACTCACTTGAGAGGAGCTCAGAGCCAACGACGCTTCTCAGAACGTTTCACAGGCATTGTTTGTCCAGGTATGCCCCCGTCATCTTGTAACTGTCTATTCACGTATGGATGGAATGCCTAGACGTACATGGATTTCATATCTCGCCTAAGGACGATATATATTTACCAACCAATATTCGTCTTCACCCCGGTCAGCTGCGTTCGTAATGAACGTATTTATAGTTACTAAGGCGAATTCTGTAGTGGGGCTGGCCCAGCGCAGATGGGTCCATCAGCTATTACTACCCTGGGGCATACCAGACGGTCGTTGACCAAAGGCATGTCCTATCGCCTTGAGTTTGAGTATCATACCCTAACTGCGCGGATACTCCGCGGATACAGGCATGCGCTTGGGGACGAGAATATCTTCCTGGTCAATACCACGGGATGGGTTTCGTGGGAGGATGTGTATCCAACGTACGTATACCTCGACTCAGGTGGTGGATCTGGACCTAATAGTTCGCGGTTGTGGTAGCAATCAACATCCCAATGTCGAAGGTCACCAGAAGATAGCCGGTCTTTTCGAGGCTTGGTTAGAGAACTGGGGATTGCGCGCACTGCCATCCTGGCCGTCCCTTCCATAGGGTGCGGCAAGAGAGCGACCTCGGTCATTTCGGGCTAATAGTACAGAGTTCCAGGATGGTACAAGGTTGTGATGCGATTCAACGGTTACATTGAGCACTTCGGAAACTCCAACGGTGATCAAGCCTTAACTTTATGGAACAACGCCTCTGTCTCCTCCCAGCTCACTCTCGCAGACTCCACGCCATCGAGAGGGTGTGATTCTTCCGGGAAACAAAGCAGCTCCACCTGCTTTCCTCTTGCTTTCAGAGCGTGATAGTAGTTCTTACCCTGGGTCGGCGCTACTCTCTGGTCCTTCTCACCCACAAGCAACAGAACCGGCGCCTTGACCGCGCCCACATGCGATATCGGCGAAGCTTTGGTCAGCGTCTCGTATATCTTTGGCGTCATCAAAGACGTGGGCCCGAAGTCCACGCCGAACTCGAAGAAATACCAATCAGGGATGTCGCTCGTGGACAGCTCGCCTGCAGCAATAACCGGGTTGCGGATGGACGCCGCACTAAACGTATCCGGGAACTGGCCGATAACTGTATTACAACATGAGAAATGTATGACGGAGCGAAGTGAATATTCCTTACGATGACCCGCAAGGAATCCGCCGTGGCTTCCTCCGATGATGAGCTGCGACCCAGGGCCTTCCTTTGAGATGCCCAACTTCACGAGATGTTTCATCGAGGCGATACAATCGTTGACGTCCAGCGTGCCACACTGACCCAGGAGCTTCCTGACATACTGCTCTCCATAGCCCAACGAACCCGTGTAATTGGGCATAGCGAAAGTGTCTAGCATGATGATCAGCGCGTGCTCGTCAACGTTTCCAGACGACTTACAGCCCGCAAGGGCAAACGCCACTGCTCCCGCCTGAAAGCTAGTGGTCGTCACGGAATGTGGCCCACCATGCGGGTTGTTGATGGTAGGTGGGATAGTCGCGGCATGCCGCTGCTTGATGACGATAGTTTCGACAGGGTGGTGTCCTGGTATCTTAATCACCTCGCTCTCGAGCTTAGACAAAGCAGCTTTGACTAGACGGAGACTGTTCAGGCAAGATAAATGCTGCCAAGATCGGGGCAGTAGCTCACCTGAGGTACTCAGCGCCGCCTGATCGAGAACCTGCCACTGTTCTACTGTGGGCCTTGCTTCCTGGCTCACGTAGCCAAGCACCAGTTCCGGAGGGGATGTAGGACTGCTCCTGGAGCATACGATCTTATCACGCCCGTCGCTGGCAAGAACTACCCAACTATACAGAGGCCCATTGCCACGAGGTGTCAACTCGGTTATAGACCCGTCGTCAGCCGAGATTAGTAGTACGGTCGACTGGCATCCCCAAGGGGAGCTGGCGACGATGTATAGTTCCTTGTTCTGCTGGCCAAGTCGTAGGAAAGGACGCTTAGGGAGTGAATCAATGTAGAGGCCGGGGAATGCGCCGGGCTCGGGCTCCCGAGGGACGTTTATGAGTATCCTTGCTGTCCCCGTAGAGCTGTCAAGCGAGTGCAAGGAAGCGGTGGAGGCGTGCGGCCCTCCTGCTGAGTTGGAAAGCCAGAATATCCTCGTGTTATCGGCTATTCTGACGGACCTACAAGACCGCTCCTTCTCCGTCAGGCGTGAGCTTGAACATCGGGAGATTAGCTCCGATGAACAGGCCAATAGCTTCGAATGTGGTATGTCGACACGCCATATACCGGCCGGACGATTCTGGCAATATACGATGCCGAGTAGACGTCCGTCTGATGAGTATTCGTATCCCGTAGCGTAGATCGAATTGTCTCCAGAGAACACCGCCTTGGCGAAGAAGACAGGGACTGGATTGGTATGCTGTACCTCAACCTTTACCAACGTAGAGAGCACCGTAGCCTCCCCAGATGGCTGCTTGGTGTCTCCTGCTCGATTATTTTGCCAAAGAAAAAGAAATAAGGTCGGGTTCCTCTTCGGGGCGAAGCTTTCACCGAAGTGAGGAATATATTTGAACTTTTCCCTGGAAGGTTCAGTAGCGGGTTGGCACTCTGCGGTGTACAGCAGACCATTCTCCGAGGCATTGAAGACCAGCGTGGCAATATGCTCTGTAGAGACAGGAGCCTCAAACAGGGTCTAGCAAATGGAGGAGACAGCGAACCATCGGAGTAGAATGCACCATGGGATTCCGTCACATCCCGGACGGCTTCAAGCCTGTCTCCAGACCAGATTTCGACAAATCGCTTCTTCCCCCCTGCTGTCAGTGGATCAGAGATTTCCTTCAGGACTGCCCGGCGTCTTCCGGACGGTGATATCGTGGACGCCACCACATCAGCAAGCTCTTCAGATGGAGAACGGATTACTGCGTCAGAGGCTGGATCAACAATTATAGTTTTGACTAGTGTCCTCTTGACGTTGCGCGTATGATCGGATATGGCCAGCGTTACACGCAAAGCTACAAGTGAATAGTAAGCATATCATTCGCTCCCGTGCAAGATCCATAGCACCGTTAGCAGCAATGAAATCCGCCGAGCGATAACTAGGTAGTTCAGCAAGCTCGGCGTAAAATGAAGACATCTTGGCAAAGCGGCCACAAGGGAGCACAGTACTGGACTGGCTCTGCACGCTGGGTCGCTTGACCTCAAGCCGATTTGAAGCAATGTTATCACAGTCAGGTGATTGCCGATGCTGTCACGGTGCGGCAGCCGCCGAGCGAGCATGCGGTCCAGTCTTTGTCCAGTCCTATGTTACCGTACAAGACGCAACAGCCTTGATACGACCACAATTCTAGAAGGAGAGTACTTCCACATATGCGCAAACTCGAGTGCTGCGTAAATTAAGAGCTTGCCGTTTCGAGGTACTGTATCAACTTCCCCAAATATGCCAGTGCAACCGGATTCTGCAAATGCGCTGGACCTCGCTTGTTGATGTTCAATGACTTGTGATTAGGTCTGATTTATTCGCTTCTGGTCGATTGTGGCAGGCAAACGACGATAACGATGGAGCCAGCGACTACTGGATGATCTGGATCGTCCAGATTCCGTACGATTTTTGGCACCTCTCTGTCTCTAGTCAAAATTTTCCCGTAGCTATTCCCTCCTGCCACAGCTGCAATGACCTCATGATGGCTGTTCGAGGGTTAGAACTGAAGCGCACTCCCTGAAGGAAACTGTGTCTGGATGTCACTTGGCATGTTTGCCAAATCTCGAGGGCACAGGTTCTCCCTTTCTGTTATCGTCTTCCCGGTTGCCAACCGGATGTCTTCCAAAGTGCCACAGTATCCTCTGCAACACTATATTACTTGTCACGGCTATGCTTCCTTGTGGCCATGCCACGGTCCTGAATTGGCGATTCTTGTATTACCAAGGTTTGTGTGGCCTTTGCCATATGCGGCCGGTGAAGTCGCCGCGTGTATAAAAGCTAGGTTATTCAAGGCTCCCATCACGGTATTCTTGTGCCGCCATGGTTGTGGGTTGCTGTCGGAGTCTCGGTGGACGCACTCCGCGGATTCGATCCCGACTGCGCTATCATAGCGAGCTAACGGACGTGCAGCTAGGGTCCTAGTATATTGGTACGCAAAGATGTACATCTCAGAGCGAAGTCGTCAACAACAAAACATACTAGTCAGAGTGTGACACGAACTAGACAGTCTTGAACTAGAGACCATGGGACTTGAGAGTAGGCCATCCTATATAGGTTCAATCTGTGCGTAGACGAATAGATGACCCAGCCGGATCATCATAAACATGAGTGTTGCGAGGATTGCGCAGGCTGCGACAGAGAGTCAATGCGAGGCTGTGAGCTGCCGTGAGCTGCAATGCATCTCGTGGACATGATCCTCATCAAACAAACCCTAACCCATTGGACTGAAGGGTTCTGAGTCCAAGCATCGAACTTGATGGTGCATGCCAGTGGGGAAAACGGCACTGGACAGTACGACTAATAACTGGAGGAAACTTAAGGCAGTCATAACCGCACTAAGCCACCCTGCCTGATACCGAGTCACATTGCACAGGACGATGTGGGAACGTGTGCATATCATATCTTCCACTTTCGCTCGATCGCGCGACCACGTTCGATGCAATGTACCGGATATTACACTCATGAGAGGCCGTGTGAAGCAAATGGACCCTCCGAAGGGGTACTGGGGAGGAGAGCATCAATCCGTCGAGTTGTCAATCGCAGCATCCAGCTCTCTAAATACATGCCGTGAATTTTCTTATCAAATATCAGGTGCTCACTAAGCTAAGCGGTGAAGTGCTTCTCCGCCACACCTGTTACAATTGCTCCGTCCGATAGCGCAGTACATCGACCCCAGCTTGTGGCCTGATAATGTAAAAAGACAATGGGGCGGCCCTCCGTCATCGGGCGAGAGACGCGATCTTATCCGCTTCGCGCACAGTCTTCTTGACGTCCTTGACAAGTGCTTCTCCCTTCTTAGCCTTCTCGATCTTCCTTGTGAGAAGCTGAGTCGAATGATCCAGTACGCGTTTCTCGTCTGCCCCGTGCCCGGCTGAAGCGCAGGAATGTTAAAAACTATATCGTAAACGAAAGGCTGTGCGAGCGTACCAAGTACAGCTTCTTCCTCTGCAGAAATGAATGATTCTGTCAGAGGCAGAGCGGTCCGAGCAGGGAGAATGCGCGCGCTGTGCTCTACCGAAGGGCTACAGCCCAGTTACAGGCAAGAATACATGGGACATACCTTGTCGGGCCAGCTTCTCCACGGCTGTCAGGAGCATCTCAGAAGTCTGTCCACATTGGTAAGTGCATCCGCTACAGATATTGCGCCATGAAACGTACCGTGCGCTCCGGGAGCCCTAGCACCTGGCAGATCTCGGTTCTGAAGGAGTTAGGTTTCGGCAGAGATCTCGCCTTCGAGATATCCCACTGTAGCACGTCAACGTGGCCTGTTACAGCCTTGCTTTCAGCTTCCAGTGAGGAGTGTAGAGCTCGCGAGGTCGATTCGGCGAAGGTAGATATCTGACCAGAGAAGGTTAGAAGTTGTACGTAACAGATCACTGGAGATTGCTCACGAAGACGGCGTGTTCAGCGGATAGGTGGGCGAGCGCCAGGGTCGTGTCAGACAGTCTCTGAAGTTTGGCTTGTTTCGAGATCTGATGTGCGACGTGAGTAGTGTGGTTGAGAGGCAGGGATGTGAGGAGTTGGCCTTACTATACCGGACGCGAGCTCGTCGGCGCGTGCTTTTGAGAGTTCTGCGGAGGCGGTTGCGGCCGCCAGTTTCTTTAACGCCCTTATTTCGGCGGCATGTACCACCTTTTCCCTATCAGACCAGGAGTTCAGACCAGAAACGGCGGAGGAAACAAGGACGCACGTTGTCAGCCGTACTTCCTTACTGTCCTCAGGACTATGGAGAATCCGAGCGATGGAGCGGCGTAGCCGCACCTCAACCTCTACTTTCACCTTCGGCAGATCGGATTTTGAAAGATGGACATGGTGCGCTCGGAGAACCTGATTGACGGGTCGATTTCAGTGAACGATGTGAGGAAGGAAAGCTTCGATTCTTACTGAAAGGGTGTCTCTCATTTGTGAAGCAGTAGGCGTCGGGTCAGCAACCTCCGTCAAGGCTGAGGGCGTCTCGGGCACGTCCTGAGGAAGCAATGTCAGTCTGCGAGGGTCAGGATGTAATTAAGGGCTGAACCTGGGTCGGTCGTTGAGATACATCTTTCCTGTGAATAGACTACTCAGCATCAAAGAGCGCATATCGACGACTCAGACATACCGCAATTTTTCTAACAGCTCCGTGAGACCCTGCAACCGCTGCACCCGAATCACTGCTTTCTTCTCCAGTAAATTCAGCATGAGATCAATAGCCCGCTTATCTTGTATGCGCTGTCTCAGGCTAGATATCTCATTATCTACGTAATTTATGAAGTGAAATAGATACGGAGGTCTATGCTAGCCTACCTAGTTCACTGAGCGCTTTCTGACGCTTATCGATGGAAGCGTGTAGGTCAGTCACCTCGTGTCTGGCTCCTATCATGCTCGATTGAGATTTCTTAACATCAGCAATGGCACTATTAATTTGGGGGGCGCGGAGAGAGGATTTATGCCTGTCCTCTTCCAAACTGGTTCACATGAGGACGTTATCTGTCCGATCGTAAGTAGAAGATTCTTACTTGTGCAGCCGTCTCCGTGCGTTACGAGTCTCTTCCCTCCCACGCATGTGCTCACATAGAAACAACATGGCATCTCCGAAGCGGCCTTTATTGAGACGCTCAAGGTCGCGGTGGCTCAATTCGGGGGCACCCAGTTCATGAAATCGCTCCAAAAGCAATAACGGAGGCACAGTCCCATGCTCGTGGGTCATCGAGAGCTAGAGTGGAAGAAAAAGGAGAGTCAACACAACACTGGATAAGTAAAAGCCTATTAGCCACGGGGAAGCGCGAACGCGTCTCATTCACGTGATGTAGTCACGTCACATGTCCCTAAATGGGTTATGTTATTCTTCACCTTCGATAGTGAACGCGACACTAGTCTCCATCATCAACACCGCAATGTACGTCACCTGTTGTCGGTTTTTATCTTACTAAAGTAGACTTTATACGCTCTCACCCATGGAAGCAGGCCAAGTTCATTTTTTACTGCGCTCGCGATGCTGCTAGAGGCCTAGGGCAGTCCGGCGGAAATGAATGTTACCCTGGATGATATCGACTGTGACAGATGCACCTAGACCAATAGCTGATGAAATATTACAGATCGCTTTCCTGAGAATACTGCTTGTTAAGCGAAGTTCAGACGGAAGGGAGGTGAGTACGTGCCTTTCACAATATCACTCTTCACGTACTGCCTTTCACATCCCCCCCCACGGCGCGAAAACACGAGCCTCACGTGAATTCACGTGAATTTAAACTTTAACCTTATAATTCAGCACCGCCACGGTTCAACAAGGACATCATATAAAAGACGTCCTGTCTTGTCCTCCAGACCGCCAGAATACACTTGCGCCTTCGGCCTCGCCTTACGCGACGATGATCTTCCTGCAACTTATTCTCAGTGCCCTCACGGGCCTGAGCATGCTCAGCAACTTCCTGCACCAACTGAACCTCGGGGTCCCTCGCGTCTTTCCTCTCTCGCTTGGACAGCATTCGAGCCTCGATATCATCCCTGTGATCCGACCCTTTTCTTTTGACTATTCCTTGGATCTTTTCCCTGCTGGCGGGGCCAATGATTTGCATGTCCATGGGCCCCTTCTCAATGTCTCCATCTCCGTTAGTGTCAGCTCGAATCCCCTTTCCAGTTCCATTTCTTCTGTCAAGTCTATCGTAATCACCAAGGATGTAATTGTATACGTCGATACCGAGGCTCCAAGCACTCCTTTGGAGGATCTCGTCCCGTTTGAGGATTTCAACCCCAATCCTACCGCCGTGGAGGACTTCTGGTTCCCACCTGTTGTCAAGGACCTCGCTCGTCTCCTCCCCCACCCATCGAAGGATCTGGTCATCTACAGTGCGCCGCTACCTCCGGCTATTTTCGTTCGAGGGCCGACGGGTCTCGCCGTCTACCAACCCCCAAGGGCTGAGTGCCAAGCTCCCGCTCAAGTGGACGTTCCTGGCGCTGGTACGCCTAGGACTCCGACTGAAGATTGCGAAGTTGAGAAGCACTATTTTGGAGGTCAGGCTGAGTCGACCTTCGTTCCTCTTGAGCACGTCTCCCATTACACCACCGACGTGGCTGCTGTGTCTGCGTATATCCTGGCTAGATGGATCCACTCCCAACGGAGGAAACGCGCTCGCCGATCGGCTGAAAGCGGCCGCCGGTATATGGGTTCGTTCTGCCAGAAGATACCGATTTTCCAGGACTACATTATCTATTCGGAAGCGCTACTTTTCTTATCCGACGTGGATCATCAAGGCGCTCCTGCCAATGCCGCTGTGTCTGATTCTGCGACCCTGGACAAGGCCGCGAAGGAGAAACAACGTTATCGCGCCCGGCGCTGCCGCAAGCGGCGCGCCCAGAGACAGGAGCAAGAGCATTTGGAATTCCTACGGGAGTACGAGCGTGGCTTCTGGCTTGCGGTCTTCGGTCGGCTTCCTGCGGATGGTGATATCGGTGTGCCCGGTCAAGTCGTTGGCGAGACCGACGGCGATGGTGGACGTTTCAAGCACCTAAGTGAGTTGGTTCGCATGATTATTCCTCATCGCTCCCTAACTCTCCGTAGTCCTTGACTAGGAATCGTCTCAAGCTATGCCACTACTGTATTATTAGACCGGTCCGATACCCCGTCATTTCCCGGCTCCGTTCCCAAACAGCCTAGCATCTGGTTCTTTGACTTGAAATAATCACAAGATACGATCTTGTCACTGTGACGATACTCGGCACCCACCACGTCTCTCTTCTTCTCAATGCCTGTGTCAAGACTCCGTTGCGCCTTGTCACTCCCTGTCTGACCTTCTCTGGCAACCATTACTATACTCGGTGTTTCAGTCATACTACATCTATCTGTGACTCCTGTCCATCTGGCGCATCTCCCTCCTTCAACATCTCATACCTCGCCCGTCCCCCCCTTTCCGGGCATAATTCCGAACCGCCTTACTCATCGACCTGTCCGACCTCCTTGCGATCGGTTCTCCACTGAAGTACTGGCCGCCTACTTCGACGTCTGGCCTGCCTCGTCGCCACCTGCATACTCAAGCACCCCGTTGAAGTTTGCCATTCTCTCACGCGATGAGAGATTCCTTGCAGAGTCCTCACGACGGCGGAACATCCAATAAATTTCGAGGCACGGATATCCAGGCCGGGCAACGGCTTATAGGATGTAAGAGGCGGATGGACGACATCTTGGTACGTTCTCAGTTTTCTTTATGGCTGCGCCGTACATGCTCATATCCCTTCTCTCATCAGCGGCCTTCAGTCAGTCTGCGACCTATTCGGCTGTACCCGCGCGCCCTAGCCAGGGTAGTCGGAGTGTTCAGGGAGCCGGCGCCCTGTTCACTTCTACTTCTCTGGCTTCTCAAGGTCGTCAAGATCCCCAACGCGCTCGACTCAAGCCCTAAGTTCAAGGTCCCTTCGGAAAGGCCGCCTTCTTTCGATCAGATTCGGGTCAAGGCCGTTGTACCCAATGCCGGTATCAATCTCTTTCTCCTCAGTTCACTAGCCGTCCCACACCTACCGACCCCGGCATCCTCTCCATGTGTTTGGGCCGTTGCGCGTCATGTTTTTCAATGTAGCGTTTCGCATCAATGTTTGTATCATCTTCGTTTTCTTCGGAATAATGTATACCTGTGATGTAGAGTAGGCCCGATAGTCTCGTCTCAATGGAAACCTTTATACTCGAATTATGCTCTCCGATACGATTGACACCTCAGCGTGGCGTCTTCAAATTTTGAAGTCGACTCATCCCTCAAACCTTCTGGAACGGCACTGTGGCTTTCATGTATGACCATGCACGCGTAGTGTCGTGATCACCTGACTGGAGTCACAGCGTCACATTAGGCGCGAATTGAGGCGGAACTCCAATTATCCTTGTCTTTTCCATTCCCGTCTTGCATCCTGACGCCGGGACGTCCGTTGCTTTTCGCTGTTTTTCTCTCTTTGCTTGCAACGCAAAGCTCGAGAGCGCTGTTTGGAACAACTGGGATATCGTGCGGCCACGGCAGGCCTGCTTTTCCTACCTTCCGTTTGCCGTTTTCTGCACGGCGTCGTAAATGCGCACGCGAAAGCTAGAGCCATAGTCTGCCAACAAGACGTGCATGCCTTATATTCTGCGATGTCACGGCTTGGGCCGGGCTGCTCAACCGCGAGCCATCACCCGGGCGAGATTTTCTTGGTCGTCAAACGTGTATTCTCTCCCTTTGTACGTCGTCTGGTACATGAATATGCTTTAAAATGGGTTTATCTCGTATATGCTTGATATATGCGTCAGTTTTTACCCCAGACATGGCCATATTCCCGTGGCATGCTCGTGTCTATCGTGATGCGCCTGCCATTTAGGTCGAAGGGTATCACTGCCTCGGGAACATCCCGTTACTGTACTCATTTGGTGCGCATGTTGTCGTGCAAGATCCAGGCTCACTGTATGCGCTCAGTATCAGTCCAGAGATGGTGATCTCACCTGTGGTCCTCTGGCATTACAGAGGGTGACGCTTGTTTGGTGCGTCTCTGTAGTGCACTAACGGTCACACTGGTCTATTTTCTGGCTCTCGCCATTCGAGTCTCGGCCCCCGACTGGGGTGGTAGTCTCGCGCAAATATGACGGTATAATATTCATTGCGTGCACGTATGCGCCTCGACAGAGTCAGTGCGGATTTTGGCGGGATCCACAGGACAGGCTCCCAGTGGATAGTGAGCAGGCTGTTCGCGAGGCGAATGAGTATCTCTTGCTTCTCATTGACGTGAAGAGCGGTTATTATGGGCCGCTATATACATTGCGTGCGTTTCGAGAGTAGTTCCCCGACGATTATCATGCACTGCCAACTGATTCAACATAGCTAAGGGAATCCCCCCCACCCCCTCCATATCCTCACCACACGTCAAAATTTCCTGATACCCTCTCCCATCTGCTTCATGAATATTTCCTTCTGCTCCTTCGTGTTCCCAGTATATGCGCCGCTCGCGTCCTTTGCCTCTCCATCTCCTTCGCCCCAACTACCCCATCCGAAGGTGTTTCCCGCCCACTCAGCGACCGTGTTCAGCTCCGCCTTGCTTATCCGCTCGAGCTCCTCTCTCTCCGGCGTCCGCAGACCAGCGTCGAACACCTGGCCCTTCGACTGCTCTTTCATCTGTTGTACCCGGTCGATGAACGCTGTGGCCGCGGCCCTGGCTCGATGTGCTTTATCCTGTTGTCCGTTCTCGTCCTCATCTTGTAGCAGGTGCGTGTGCTTGGACCAGAACTCCACGAACACTTCCTCTCTCTCCCTATTCGTGACCTCCTTTGGCGGCGTTTCAGTCCCGCTGGCCTCCCTATACCAGATTCTCGCATTCTCGTAATCCCCTTCTACGCGGTGCAGGACGCCATGAAGGTGCTGACCTCCTCGCGAGTTCTGCATCTTGCGCAGCAAGAAGTGTGGTGCGTAAAGCGAGTGGTTCAGGAGGTGGAGAGCAGCCTCGAGGAGAGGGTGCACGAGCAGCGAGGCGATTTCACTTTGCAGGCGGGGGATTTTGCCCTCGGCGGCCACCGGTGACGGAGAGTGGAAGAGGGGACCCGGGAGGGACTGGAGTTCGTTATATATGTCCTTTGCAGGTAGGTGACGCATGTCGGGGCTCATTATATCGTTATCGGATACCGACAGGGGATGACCTGAAGTAAAGCAGGATGCGCTCGGAGAGGTTGTGGTTGAAGACACGAGGTTACCCTGCGGTGTATTCGCTTTTAAACCAAACTTCGATGGCTGACTCTAGAGAACTCCCTGTCGGTCGTCCCGGTCAAGATTCAAATACCACGATGCCCATGACGTAGACTGAAGTGAAGTGATCCAACTTTTTTTTCAAGGAATGTGCCTTCACATTTCGGTTGCAGTCCCCATTATCCAGCCGCGATGGAGTGGCCCAGGAATTTATTAACAGCTTCTAGAATTTATTGATAGACATTCGCCGCCACTGGCAGCTCGTAACGTCAGACATCGGATGAAAAGGAGAAACGCTTCAATCCACTATGCAACGAGAAGGGGAGACTGCTTAATCAAATATCAACGGGCGTGCAGGTACTTCTTCGTACTTCAGCCTCGTGATGGGGAGCCCTTCACCGTCCAGGAAAGCGCATAGGGCGCTGTAGTCCTCGAAAGAGTTGACCTCCACCTGGTCCTCCAAATGGCAAAACTCCACGGGGTGTTGGTCCAAAGATGGCCCCCCTGATCCGTGGTTTAGATTGTGGGTGTGGATAAACCAAGTCGGATTGCGAACAGTTCCAAAAAGCGCATTGCCGTAACTCAGACGTTTCCAAAGTGGGTGGATGCGGTGCACGGCCAAGCTTTTCCCGGACGTCCTCCTTAGCTCTGCCTTGAGCTCCTCCAGCGCGGCAGGCTCCAATTCGGCTGTTCTCTGAGGCTTCCAGTTAAGTCCTCGGCGATGCAGCCATGCGTCAACGACATCTCGAGATAGGACAAAACCTCCCCAAATTCTGCTTCTGGAACGAGGGCAATAGAGCAACTGCGGATTCCGGTCTGCATTGATAATGGATTCGTCAGTCCAAGACTGCATATGCAAGGACAGAGGCACCTACTGAAATCGGATTCGTAAAGTGCGTATCCTTCATGGATGCATTCTATGTCACTGTTGTATAACAGGTGCACCCTGGAGCGCGTCGTGCCCTCAGGGCTTCTATCAATCGGAGCCTGGACCGTCTCAGTCGGCTTCTGCAGACATGTGGCATATACATAGGGCGCTCTGTCAACTCCGATAAGGTCCAGGACATCCTTTGCGAGCGCCATTGGTGGATGAGCATAGCTGCCTGTCTTCCAGGTGGGCTGACGGAGATCATCCATTTGCGCAACACGGGACCATCGAAGTGTAGAGTCTGTCAGGTGCTCGCGGATGTACTCGGCCACATTCCTGGGTGCGTTACGGGAAGGGATGAAGACAGACGTGCGAACGGCAACGACAAGGGCAGTTCCGTCATAGGCCGTTAATACTGGGAGGTCGATCCCTATGGTATTTCGGGCGAGAAGTCGAAGAACCTCGGTGAGGCTCTTTGATGGATGATGGGAGGTTGTCGGTAGGTCCTTCCAGGAAACTAGATATCCTCCGAACAGCTCGATAACAACACCGTGGCCCACCGGCACAGCTATCTGTTACGGAACATGAGTACTGCAACATCCATCGCGACCACGCTGGTGACGTACCTGGTAAATGGACATAACAGGAGGACTTGCAGGAGGGTTGGGGGAGCGTGAGGCAAAGCTCGCGTAGGCCACCCATAGGTGTTATAAGCGCACACTGTGGCCAAAGCGCGTCGTAGGTGCCGCCCACGAGCCACATCTTCAGTACGCTTGGACTTCTCGCTGTGGCGCTGACTCTGCTTGTTCAGCGCTTGGAGACCGCCACCGCCAAGAGCCAACCAGCTTGTGGTTCAAACTGGCGCCCGACCACGGACGGTTCGATGAGCTATGTATGTCACCAAAATCCGTCGGACCTACGATGACACGTCTATCGCGCCGACCTACGTTGAGAGAAGATAGACGTAGGAATCAGGGCCAAAAAAATGGTGGTAATCCTCATAGACTTCAAGAGTTTGACAACCTGTTACGGTTTGTCCAGTAGTGCCGGACAGAGAGGTGTTCGCGTAACCGATGCATATACGCCTGGATACCCTTCTGGAACAATCAAGCCTGTGACAATGTGAAGCATCACTTACATTAGCTTGAGCAGACATGCTAACCACCGCCTTCCCAGGTCGAGGTCAGAGGCTTTGGGACAATCACCGTCCCTGGAAGATAGCAGATACACGGAAGCACGACATGGCTGTAAGAACGGCATGAAAAGTAACAACACGGGCGGAGGGGATGGCGGTCTACAGGGAACAATAATACAATAAGGTAGAGCGAGGATCAAAGCAGCCTTATAGGACGAAAGAATAAGATATTGATGAACAGGCGGTTCACGAAGAATGGATGCAGCAATCAAACAAGGGGATAGCAAGTTCCGCAAGGGGAGGGTTCATTGACTTTCGTTCTCCATAGCTTCCTTCTCGAATCTCTTCTTCATCGCGCTCACTGAACATACCCAGTGTCAGCGGCTGGAAGATGCAAAGAAATCAAGTTTACCTTCTCTCGAGATTTGACCGGAAGACATCCACCCTTCCGGGAAGGCAGCAACGATCTGTATGATGGGTCAGAGCATGGAGGAACAGAAACCATGTCTGTGCCCACCTTCTGATATAGGACCTTCCGTAACCCCTGCTCACTAACCTGCAACGGCGAGTTCTCCAACGAACTGGACGACACCCGTCAGCTTGAGGCTGCAAAGGAGACCATATCGTGCACTCACTTTTTCTCGTTCTCAATTCTACAGCTCTCATTGCTGAGTAACACTAGATTCCAGATGATCACGCGCATCGGGTCGGTCAGGCGATACTTCTTGGACGGCGGATGGGGCTCCCGTCCGCCCTCCTTACCCGCACCGTTGACACTGACATTGCCACCTTCGTGATCGGCGTCGCCATTGACATGACTGTCGTCTGGACTCGGAAGGTGCGGAGGAGGGACTGACGGTGTGCCCTCCGTCGAACCAACCCCGCTCGCTTCTGCCTCTGCCTTAGCTCGCTCCTGCCGTCTCTCTGTGACACACGGGCAGACATCAGTCGGGATAGTATGGACTGACTCAAGCAGCACGCACCCCACTGCGCCACGCTCTTCTCCCACTCCTCTTGTGCCCGAGGAAAACCTTCCCTAGCCATCTCAGCGAGTTCATGCAGCAGTACCTCTTGCCGCTCCGCCAGCAGCCGCATGTGGTCTTGGAAGATCGTCCGCTTCACAAGCTTCGCCATCGTAAACCGGTTATAGGGGAAGATCTGTGGGAGGAGGTTGAAGAAGTTGTCGTCGTACTCGTCGAGCTGGATCGCCTTGATGGCGACCTGGGCGAGGATGGGCTTGATCGCCGGCGGGAACTTGCCCTTGACGTCCCACGACTCTGGAGGAGGGTGAGGCGCGCAGCGACAAGGTTTGCGAGACACGCACCCTTCAATATAGCCACCTTGAGATCCTCGATCATCCGCTCGAGCTCTGGGTGGAAGGGCCGGATGTCGGCTGTCTTGCGCTTCTTCTTGCCCTTGCCGTCGGTGAGGTGCAGACTTGTCTTGCGCTTCAGCCCCGCCCTGTCGTCCTCGTTGTCAGACAGGACGGGGATCGGCGTGTCGCGCGTGCCGTCCTTGACGGCCGATAGTGAGACGTTGCTGGGTCCGGCGACCGCGCTGTCTTCGCGCTTGACGGAGATGGACGGGTGTGTGAGGGGCAGCAGGGGTAGTTTCTTCGACTTTGGCTTCTTGGGAGTCCTGCGCGAAGGTGAGATGGAGAACCGAGTAACGCAGTAGATAACATACTTTTCCTTGAGTAACTGGACCTCGCCGCTGGAGACGTAGAAGCCCTGCTGCTTCGTCTGCGCGAAATGCGTGCGCTGGTCGAGCGCGAGGTCCGAGTCGTCGATGAACGGATCCGTCAGGTCATAGTACTCGCCGCCCAGGTTCTTCTTGCGCTGCACGATGTGTTAGCATACACGCATCGCACGACCCGCTCATGCTCACCTTCCGTTTCTTCTTCTCGTCCTTGCCCTTGTCCTTCCCTGACGCCTCGTCGTCCCCTTCGCTGTCGCTCGTGTCTATCTTGGGCGGCGGCGGTGTCGGCGAGCGCTGGCCGAGGCTCTTGGCCAAATTCGAGATGTCGACCTCGTACGCATCGGGGCCTCCCAGCGGGATATTCAAGCGGATCGTCTGCACCTGCGGGGGCGGCGGCGGAGGCGGCGGCGGCGTGGGGGACGGAGGGCGGGGTGCTTTCGTGGACTTTGGTTTGGCGGCGGTACTTGACGCGGGTTTCGCCGCAGCAGACTCGCTCGGCTGCGTCTCAGGCGAAGTGGCTTCTGCTGGCGGCTCCTGCGCCCCGCCGTCCACGACGTGCTCGCCGTCGACGGTTTGTGCCTCGGCAGGCGTCGAAGGCGAGTCGGAGGCGGCAGAAGTGCTCTGCGTCTCGGTGTCGCCGTCGTCGTCCGCAGCGTGGGAGGTGCGACTCGAGTCTGACGCGGGCGGCGGCGACGCCAGCGAAGGTGGTTCTGATGGGGTTTTCTGGCGGATTTCAGCCGGAACCGCCATCTCTACGTCTGCATCCATCATCTAACGGCCCTCGAGAGCGAGAAAAGCGAGCGAGGCGAGAGAAATGAGGGGATTTTGGGGGGAGGATGCCTAAAAAGGCAGGTTCAGAGGGTGGAGGATACGTTGCAAAGCGCAATTGCACGGCCCAGAAATCCCCTCCCATTTTGTCTCGCTTGCACCGGTCTTTGCGTTTGCGTTTCTGACAACGTTCGGATTCGAACCGCGTCCATCTGAAAGTGCGCAATCCGATTGGCCCGGCATTTGCCATCTTCCACCCGCGTGTGGCTTGCCGCCTGAAACCCAGGTATATCCTCTATTCGTGTGCATATTATCGCAGCTCGTGATATATCTGGTTCTTCTCCACCAGCTTTCATCGATTTGAAACGCAGTGTGTTGCTTTGAAGGTTCAAGATTTGTGCCATGGAAAGCCATGATTCATTGCCAGACCTCACGAGGTCTCTAACGCGCTCAAGTATTCTTATAGTCCATTGTCCGCAGAAAGAAAATTCTGTGGCCCCTTGGGATCCCGCTTTGCCACTGAACCCCACAGTTTTCAACCCAGGCCCGCTCTTGTAATAGCTAGACAAGTGACCGGAAATGCGGCCAGCCGATTGTACATGTCTCACAAGTCGGGATGCCACATACCGGCTGGCTCTCAAAGGTTAACCATCATCGTAGTTTCCAAGCGCTGACAGCTGCCACACCGGAACGTCCAAGCATCCAAAATGATGTGGCTCGTGAGGGGCGGGTACGACGTGCTTTGGCCACGCCAACACGCCTATAAAACGCCCACTAGTGACGTGCTGAGCTCATATCTCTCTTCTCCAGCCGCACTACTATTATTTCTTCCATGTCTGCTTACCAGGTAAGTCACTCGCGTTGTTGTCCTTGGAGCCGCAGTGCTCACATCTCGGCAAAAGGTAGCTGTGCCGGTTGGCCAGGATCTTGCTATCGAGGTGTTTGCAGGATATCTCGTTTCCTGGTCGCACTTACCGACAGTGCCTAAACCCAAACATACATCACAGAACCTCGCTGAGGTTCTTCGACTCCTTGGCAGAGATACAGCTGGTGTCGAGCTCCCCGTATTGAACGCAAATACCGGGGCTGCGCTCGTGGTCGCCCTTCGAACGTATATCCGCATCCCATCACTTGAGTCGATTGGGAACGTAGCAGAGTACGTTCAGCAGACCCTGGCGGCCCAATCTACGCTCCGATGGTCTCATGTCCCGCAGATGGCTGATTTGGGTGTGTCAGCCTGGGAGACAGGCCATGTTGCGTTTCCAACCCCCATACCTGCAAAGGACATCCTTGACCGCGCCCATGTGTCCGGTGCGGCCTACGTGTACGCCACATATCTGCAGAAACCGGTGGAGATGCACCAGGTCTCGGTTACCACTGACCGGGCCTCGGTGGATTTGGAGAAACGGTACAGGATCCACTTGCTATTCAACAGCAAACTTATTTGCATCCATGAAGGCTACGCTCACCAAGGATTAGATTCCGGTGGGTACGCTCGTTATCATCTGCAGTGCCATAGGCTTATCCCTGCATGCCCCGGCATTTTCGGTTTCCAGATCGCCCATCTCAGTTTCTGTATTGCCCAGTTTCCAGAAGTCGGATTTGGGGAGGATTTGTCCTGGCTCGGAACGTGGTTGATGCATGGCTGCATCGCCGAGGAATCATCTCCAGCGCTCAGGGGCCGACTGATTTCGACTCTGCCTTGATTGCGAAGCTCAAGGCCGAAATCAAGAGGAAGACCGGGAAGAGCCTCGCGGTACATCGCATACACCCACTGTGGAAGAACCTGAGTTACGCGAGGATGATTTTCGGAACCGTGCAAGAGCCAACTTGGTATATCCACACTCACAACATCGACGAGAGAAAGGGGAGGACGTCGGCTGAATCCCTTATAGACCAGTGTCCTGTGAAGTTTTGCGGCTTTGAGAATGAGGTGGACGTCAATTCCTTCGAGAATTTCGGGGCCCTCTTCGCTTTCCTCAAGGAGGAAGGACTCACTAGTAGGCTCAAGTACGAAGAGATTCCTGCACGCCCATTGATACTCGAATAGGTTCTGTCTTCTGTCCGTCCTATCTGTCTTTGTAGCATGTTACTACGCGTCTCTCTCCCTATTCAATGCATGACGTCCCGAGTTACCGGAACCTAGCGTTTATAGGATAGAATATAGAACGGCGACATTTTGAGTCGCGTTCTGCAAGAACCTGCTCATCGCCGTAGTGTCAGTGTTCGATCTATCGCCGTCCTACCGCACCGGTGCCGCAAAATGCAATGTGAACAAGCCTAAGTTGGATTCCCGCCCTGCTTCATTGACCGTATAAGTGTCGAACCTGAACCATCTCCCGGCGCCGATCGCACTTGTATGCGTGCCTCTTCGGGTGCAGACAAGCACCCTCCATCACAATGGGGCGGCGTTCCTGCGGGATCGCCTTCCTTATTGCCTTCAGCCAGAGCTAGCGAGCTGAACAGGATGTAAATGCAGGAGCGGAGATCCGTACAGACCAAAGAACACGTCCGAATGTGTCCGCTGGCAACCCGAAAGAACAGAACCAGTCCATGCAGCCATCTCTCGCCTGCACATAGTGAGCATGCCTTGCGTCACAGCAGGCGTCCCTGTAACCGGTAAGAACCAATGCTCTAGATTCCGTCAGAATCAGTATTCGTGCCTCTCCGAGCGGATATATGCACCGAAGCAACAACGAGAGGGATGCCTTTAGGGTCGGCCATAGTTGATGACTTTGAGAGCCCGGGTTTCCAGATTTTGCGGTCTCCCAGAGTGAGTTGCTACTGCGGCAATTAATAGGTGCACCACACAGCAACCCGTGATAGACGATGAGGGGTTGCTACAGCCGTCCAAAATTTCAAAGGTTGCGCATATAGCGAGCATATACTTATAGCCCTCAACCACCGTGAAGGACAAATAAGGATACTGTATCAAGTCAGGGGTAGAATATGCGAAACTTCGCAATGAGGACTAAATCCGGAGGCCGCCCCGCCCCAGTAATCTCCTACAGTGCCTCTTCAGCAGCGTATGCTTCTAACCATGGCGAGAGCAATAAATAGGCCCCATTGGTGAAAGATGGCTGACAGAAATCCGCAAGAAAAAAGGAGAGTCGCAACCGCAGCAGCCACTCTTTCGGCCGCGGCCTCGTTCGGAACATCGTTCTAAGCGGTAACATTAAAGCAAGTGATCAAATGTCAGGAGTCGAGGGGACGACTGACAAACGTCAGGCAGCGATACGTGACGATTAGACGGTGGAACGGGAAAGAGGACGATATTTCGCGTCTCGCGCATAACGTTACTACAGTGTGTGACTCAGATCATGTGATCGATGCTTCGCGGCTGTGTCACTGTCACTCATCAGCAACGAAAGGGACGCGACTTCATTACAATTTCATCGTCCATTGACCAAGGGACACACAGTTTACGGCGCACGAAGCGATACCGTTATCTAATTTCCCGAAGAATTACTGCACTTGACAGTCGTTTTATCCGAATTGTAGCATCAATGTTGGCCTTCAGTTTGATGTGCGGAAGGCAGCACCAGGTGAGAAAATCACACATATGAACTGTCACCTTTATGGGATGGCGAACTGAGCTCGTGTATCTCTCCAGAGTCTTTCAGTGTAGTGCTTCGATTACTTCTGCTGGGAAGGTCCACGGCTTGGGACGGGCGAGTCAGCTTGCTCCCCGAGCCGCCAGTTTGCTGGTCTATCGTCTTCCCAATGGCGAGCATGAACATGATCAATGTAGGACCTGCGCCCTGGTGGATATATCTTTGGTGATCTCTGCATTTTGAAAACCGAGTGTGAAAAACTCACTGCTGAGATACCAGCGGCTGCTAAGATGATTACCTGTAATCGCGGAGAGGTTAGACACAGATCCATAACGTGAAGCAGACGGCACGTACGTATCGGCCCGCTTCGATGGCCGTTAAATGGATGGTAAAGAGAGCGGCGAACAAAAGACAGCAGGAGTGGCCCGCGCCAGCTTCGACACTTCATGCGCAGGTCAGCCCATACTCAATTTGAGGTATATGAGGGTAATAAACTTGCAGAGCAGCATTTATACGGGTATATGGCCGACGGCCTAAGTACTTTCTTGAGCTTTGTGTTGTGCGGAAGATCTTCCACACTATACACGATGATGTAAGTCATTCATCCATATTTCTGAACAAGGCGCGACAGCTACCTATTAGTATTGTCACAGCTGCGTTTCCGATGAACGTCGCGGTGTAAAATGATGCATTCAAGATATCTTGCTGATGAAAGACGGTTGTCGCGGCAGGTGGTGGGGAGATACCATCGGCGCTGATATTCTTGGTCATGAAATAGTACTTGAGTAAGAGGCCGAATCCCCCGTATCCAGCGGCTGTCATACAATCATGAGATGGTGCGCAATCAGATTTACTGTTAGCGGCGGCTCACCTGTTCCCATCAGGAGGATTGCTGAGGGACCGACAATCACCAGCCACCGTTGGCCCCAGGTGTTGTAACAGCGCCAGATCTTCACCGTCGCAAGAGTTAATCAGAGAATGCTATACTATGCTTCTTCGAACACTAACGCACCAGAAGACCGTCTGCGATGGAGCTGTCGTTCAGTTTCGTAAGTGCATTGTATCTTTGGTTTTTCATGAAATGCGTACTTGTTCGTAACCGAAAGGAAGCTGATCATTGCTTCCAGTAAGTTATTCCGGTCGATGTTCCGAGCTTGAGTCTCAGGATCTCCCAAATCTTCCCCAGGAGCAAAGGCAGTAGTGAGGACAAGCACGAACTGGACCACCACTTGCGCTGCAGCTATGATGAAGAGAACCACTGTCACAGGGACTAGGCGCATGTGCCTCATATTCCTCCGCCCTCGAGAAATAATGAAATACATGGACGCGCCGAAGATCACTGCGTATGCACCTTGCGGGATTCGTCAGCATGAGAGGACTCGGATGACATGAATCTGAATACAACGCTACCTATCAGGAGACTCATTACCTATGGGAAGGTCAGTACAGAATTCAATGCATGCGGCTTATATCTCACCCATAAGGCGATAAAGTTCGCCCTCTGCATCTGTATTTTGGTGAGCAACCCTGGTCGTCTTGAACGGATGGCGCGGTGGGGCTTACCTCGTTCCAGCTTGCCATGGCAGATAGAGCTTTGGATCTCCTAGAATACGCACTCATTTCCAGGCGAGTTAACTTCTGTTTATATGCATTGAGGTTCGAGCTCTTGATGGTGAAGGCTGGGGGACTGATTGTCGAAAGGTGGTTTCCCCGCTGCCGCGGATCGAGTTAAGTTGATGGAGTATGGAGGGGTGGCCATAGGAGGGGCATATCACCCAGAGCAGGCTTGATTGACAGCACTCTATATATCCTGGGGTAATCGAGAGTCGGGATGAGAACTTTTGATCGTATGATCTCTGATATTTCGGTTCCGATCGCGGTGGACCCTATTGCTCCCTCGTTCCGCTTGGTCAGGCTGACTATTCTGGTGCTCGTTCTCAGGTATGTCGTACAGTATCGAGACAGCAAATCCATCGAAATATTCTATTCGCAGTGGAAGTTTATCCTTAACCAGTTTATACCATCATTGACGGCGCAGATCGCCTCAGGAGTACGATACCGACTCGGACTTCCGAGTGAGCGCTCAGATGTATCAAGACCCTGGACCTGCGGTGATGTCTTTTGAGAGACATACCATCGCCACAGAAGCCGAGTATACGTGGCCTCTATAGTTCCATACAGGCATTGAAGAGAACGAGAGAAGACCATACCAGGTACGGTGACCCGATTGACTTCTCGCGCTCCGCTAAAAGTCTTCGCCTCATCAGCAGTTGGTCCGGGTACATCAGCAGTTCTGCTCAGCTGGTTATTCTGACCCGTTTAAGGATGGGCGCGGGTGGCGGGTACCACCGCGGTATTGGGCCCGCGGGTCGCTCGGGTGCGGGCTCGGGTCTGAAATCCCTCGAACCGCGCGCTACCGTGAAACCGTCCCAACGGGTCTCGGGTCCCGGGGGTCTGGTGGAGGGTACAATATTTATACGAAATTTGTGATTTTTGAAGGGTAAATGCAGCAAAAACACGGGAAGTTGGTTCCCGGTGATACTGGAGTCAGGTACGGCACTGTCAGATCCAGGTGTACAAAGAAACTGGCCCAACAGCACCTTCAATAGGGTGCCTTGAACCTGCAAAGCCCTACCTCGGGCATCGGCCAAGGGCACCCAGCTACCCGCGGTCTCTCGGGCGGGTTTTGTACCCTTACCCGCTGCGGGTGCGGTACAGGCTGGTACGGGTCGGGGTGACCGTGGCAGAGCCGCGGTGTCACCCGCGACCAACCTTAGACCCGTCAAGCCCAGGTCGGGCGGTGGTGTGGCACTGGTGTCGTCCTCAGACAAGGAGGCATGCATATTTAGATGGTCAGTTTGGCATTATCATCTCGATGGCCCGAGAGTTGCATGGCGCTTATCACACAACAGATTCACCTCAGGAATGTACGTGTATTGACACTACCACTACTATGAGTGAAACGGAGAGGGGTCATTACAGGTGAGGAATATTCATGCTTCCGAACGATCCTCGTTATACGAAGATGGCGATCGCAGTTCGTGTATCTCACCGAAATCCTTCAAAGTAGCGCTCCCATCACTTCTACTCGGAAGATTGACAACTGCAGTTGGGCGGGCTGGATTATCCCCGGCTCTGCTGGATCGGTGTTCTATGGTCTTCCCGACGGCGAGCATGAATATGATCATCGTGGGTCCTGCACCCTGGTGGACGTATTTCATCGTGAGCTACCTGTATCAATGATTGGCTGTCACGAAGGACTTACAGCTGAGATACCGGCAGCCGCCATAACAATGACCTGCAAGCCTCGGAGTATTAGACTTGGATTCAGTCCAAGAAGAAGAGACTCCGCACATATCGGCTTGCTTCGATGGCCGTTACATGGATTGTAACGAGAGCGGCGAACAGAAGACAGCAGGAGTGCCCCAGGCTGGCTTCAACACTGTTCGTGGACAGGTGAGTGGACACAATAGAACATATTAGATGAACACCACTCACAGAGTAGCAATTATACGGGTATATGACTGACTGTCTGCGAATAAGGCAGAAGTTCTCAAGCGTCGAGTGGTGCGGAATATCTTCCAGACTATATACGATGTGGTATCGTCAGTCATTCGTCGATGTCTGTGAATGACTTCTACACGTACTTATCAGGATCGTCACGGCAGCGTTACCGACGAACGTCTCGGCGTAAAATAAGGCGTTCAAGGCACCTTGCTGATGAAAGACGGTTGTCGTAGCCGCAGGGGGCCCAACGATGCCAGCACTGATATCCTTGGTCATGACATAGTATTGGAGTAGGAGGCCGAAGCTCGCGTATCCAGCCCCTGTTCGAGAATGGAAGGTCAGAAGGTTCACAGTGGTCGGATTTTGGCGGGGCTCACCACTTCCGGATAGCAGAATTACTGAGGGGACGACAATGACTAGCCCGCGGTGGTCCCAGATGTTGTAACAACGCCAAATCTTCACCAATATCAATACATTGCGTAAAGAGGGATTGTTTATTTGAGATCTGATTAGGACGCTTACGCACCAAAAGGCCGTCTGCAAGGAAGCAGGCATTCGAATCCGTGAGTACATTACATATTGTGATTCCTCACGAAATTAATGCATACTTGTTTGTTACCGAAAAGAAGCTGATAACTGCCTCCAACAGATTATTCCTATTGAGGTTGCGAGCTGGGCTCTCAGGGTCTTCCGAGTGTTCTCCAGGAGCGAAGGTGGTTGTGAGAACGAGCACGAATTGCACGACGACTTGCGCCGCCGCTATGGCAAAGAAGGCCACCGTTACAGGGACTAGGCGCATGTGTCTAGTTTCCCTTCGCCCTCGGGATAAAAGGAAATACATGGACGCGATGAAGATGACTGCATATGCGCCTGTTGGAACTCATAAGCATGCCAGTGAGTGTATTTAGTCACACGAAGACGAAGCATTACCCAGGAGTAGGCTCATAACCTGGGAGCAGGTCAGCGCAGAGCGCCATACATGTCGTTACAGACGCACCCATAAGGCGACGAAGCTGTCCTTTTGCGTCTGACTTTTGAGTAACCCTGATCATTCATACCAGCGGTGTCGTGGACGCACCTCGCTCCAGCTTGCCATGACAGAGAGGGCTTGGGATCTGGAAGAATATAGCCTCACTACCAGGCAAGAGAGGCCTGGCTTTCGTTTATAGGCATCGGGGGCCAAGCCTTAGATGGTGGCGGCTGCAGTGATTGATTGTGAAGAGGCGTATCCCAGCAGTGGATCTGGTTGGACGGAAACGAATGATGGAGTATGAAGGGGTGGCTCGCTCCTGGGGCATGTCGCCGATACCAGGGCCAGAAGCCTGAAGGGTGGCACTGTGTATTCCCTACGAGATCACGATGAGGGATGTGACCTTTACGGCTTCCGAGGGTAATTATATTCATGCCCTGGGACCTCCCGGGACATGTGTCCAGCAGCATAAATAGCAAGCAGGTGGATTTGACAGTTCACCTGGAGCTCATTCTAGAGTTCAGTTCACTGGCTTTCGAATTTGTTTTACCAAGCCAGGCACCATGATTACTTATGATACGAAGCTGAACATTCGGAGATGTCCTTTGGACAAGGCATGCCACTGCCACATAAACGGACCACCGGCTATACATCCTGCATTTCATAGACAGCCATTACTGTCAGCACCCAATCACCGCCCGATCCGGCATGGGAGGAGCGGAGTAGCTCGCTCCCTTGAAGAAGGAGGTATGGGTATTTGGAACGATAAGATTAAGTAGCCGCGCGAGCGACATATTAAGCGTATATATATTGAAAGTACTCTACATCGTCAAACAAAGGCCTCATGCAATGAGGATTCAGAAGATCACACATCCGAGCGATCCCACTTGTACGAGTATGGGGAACGGAAATCATCCAGCTCTCGAGAGCCCTTGAGTGTATGACTTCTACCACTTGTGCTCCTCAAGAGATCGATGACCGGTGACGGACGGAGGAATACCAGCTTGCTCCCCGCACCCCCTGTTTCGTCCTCTATCGTCTTCCCGATGGCCAGCATGAAGATTATAAGCGTAGGGCCCGCGCCCTGAGGTATTGGTCGTGGTTAGCGAACTATCCAACCACTGGAATGGAGATGGGGGCTTTACCGCTGAGATACCGGCTGCAGCCATGGTGATAACCTAAAAGAGTAGGGAGACAAGTGTAGATCAACAGCAGGGAGGGGTTACTTACATATCGGCCGGCTTCGACAGTTCTCAAATGAAGCGTAAAGAGCACCGCGAATAGGAGGCAGCAGGAGTGCATCAGACTCGACTCGACGCTGTGAGCAAAGGCGAGCGTAAGTTCTATCTGTGTCATATATAATTTAGATTCACATACATCAGAGCAATTATACGGGTATAAGGCCGGGTATCTATGGGTAGTGCCGAGTTCCTCAAGCGTTTTGTTGTGCTCCATATTTTACAAGCTATAATCAGAGATAAGATTGTTGTTACGTCCGTCATAACCAGCCGTGCGTACCTATCAATACTGTTACAACGGCATTACCAGCAAAGGTACAGCCGTAGAATATGGCATCCATGATCTCCTGCTGATGGAAGACGGCAGTGGCCGCAGGTGGCAGGACAGCAGCGTCTGGGTTCAGGTCCTTGGTCATGAGGTACAGTTTGGCTAGGAGGCCGGAGCTTGTGAATCCAGCAACTGTCGAAGTAGGTACACGCTATAAGGCAAACAGTGATGAAACGGACGTCTGCAAAAACTCACCTGTTCCGGCCAGCAGTATCAAGGAGGGACAGGAAATGATCGTCCATCTACGCCCCATGACATTGTAACAACGCCAAATCTTGGTAAAGATTTTAGTTACAGTCTGCCAAAATGGTGTAAGTCGAAGTTACGGCAAGGTATACGCACCAGCAGACCGTCTGCGATTAAGCTAATATGATATTCCGTGAACCCCAGGAGCAAATAAGCTCAAACTGCGAACTCACTTGTTTATGACAGTCAAGAAGCTGGTGGTTGTTTCTAGCAGATTATTCGTGTTGAGAATCCGCGCGTCCAAGTCAAGTGCCCCCGAGTTCGCCCCAGGAGCAAAGGCTGTGGTCAGGAGGAGCGCAAACTGGATGAAGACCTGCGCTGCCGCAACGATGTAGAGGACTACTGTTACGGGGACGAGATACAAGTGGCTCCGGGTGCCGAACCGCCGGGAGAGAAGGGCGTAGAGGGATGCGGCGAAGATTATTGTGTAGGCACCTGGGATATTCGGACTATAAGTCGACGCAGATGCAGTGGGTTGGAGGAACAGTACCTAATAGTAGGGTCATTACCTGCGGGGAGGTTAGTACGGCATTGTATACATGTACCGCACGACGCACCCAGAGCGCAATGAAGCTCTGTTTTTGCGTCTGACTTGTCATGATTATTTGGCTCGCAAAAGCGCTCGACCATCGGGGCTCACCTCATTCCAGCTGGCCATGGCAGAGAGATAGGATTGCAAAGTGGAGAGGCCGACGGCGACGATGGCTTATATTCCGAGTCCCAGGTAACGGTTCCAACGATTGATAGCCCAAGGATGCGTCTCCGGTAGCAAATTCAGTCAATTAGACGGGATACCGATGGGTGAATGCGAAGCCTGATCACCTCCGGGGAGCAAGGCATTACCCAGACAGGTCTTGCGCGACAGAAGTATGTATAGTCTGAATTATCACCGCACAGGATGGGCTTCCCGACCGCCCAACCTTGCAAATCTTTCTCTTCCGCTGTCGAGGACATCGATGCTTCTGAATTACCATGCGGTCAGGAGGGTGGGCCCAGTTCCCGGTCCCGCGTAAGTCCCACAAAGACGACCTACAACAGCCAGATTAGAGTTGAATGGTCGATTCGGGTACATTTCGTCCGCGCCCTATCAACCCGGGGCACCAATAGCAACGGACGACATGTTGATCTTGTGTTGATCATCCGGTACATATTGTAATTTGGTCCAACATCCGTGATCGGGGGTTTCCACGCAAGTCAAGACAAGCTCCGAGCCCGAAGACAGACGTGATGTTGGGTCTTGGGTGCCGGTGAGGCCGTCGGCAACCAGGACGTCCAACACTCGCAGGAGGTATCTCGTGAGGCAATCCCAAGCAAGTCGTCTACCCTTCCGGTCGCTTATCAACGATACAGAAGTCGGCTCTTACGATACAGCCGCTTGCAGATCGATAGACCATCAATTCAGAAAACCACGTATAGTCGGAGTGGGTCGGAGTGGGTGCCAGGGACGTCGGAAGAAGGTAGAGAAGTCCAGATGGTCTGATTTCTGTCTCTCGGGGACTTGAAATTGCTTGTCCGACGTGGTCCGACTGTAAATGATTTTCAAAAAGTGGGCCCATCGATCTGCAAATGGCTGTAAACTCGCTGTCGTAATAGAGATGTACAGTCTCTTCTGGATACATACTAAGTATGTAGTCTTCAATCTTCAAACTGCGCAGTAAGTCGGACATATGGTTATGAACTTGTACCGGCCTTGCCATAGGTTGTAATAGCATCATAAAGCACAGAAATTATCCTACCGCAAATTAGCTGTTCAACGGGTGATAACTCCAGGCGTGGGGCGGCGAAGTAGCCTGGCTTGGAGGAAGTCCCTTCCCCTGCTTAGCCGAGATGATGTGCGGGACACTGAGGACACCATTACCGATCCCTTTCGTCACTGGTATTCTGGTTGTACCACTTCGACATCGTGGTCAGATAATGACAATAGTGGTAGGGTCGTAAACTCCCGACATTCCAATTGCCAACACACCGAGCGACCGAGTCAAAGGAACGTGGTACTTGTTTGCTTACCTCCGGGTATGTCACTGAAAAAGGATAAATGGTCAACTAATAGTAAGCTTACTAGGAGTACTTCGTGGTGAAAATCCATTATAGTGACGTCACGGCTGTGGACTATATCCCGTTATGGAAAGAGCGTGACCATATTTAGTCGACAATTCGAAGTAATGATCCATTCAGACATCGACTTTTCACATGTGCCAATGAAGAGGGCTTCACCCGGTATGTAATTGAGTAATAGCCCTTTGCATGGTGTCTTCATTCGCGCGGCCCCAGCCCTCCCCTTTTCGTCCCTGAGTCAGTGCGGCTGTCCCCCTTCACCAGAAGTCGACTAATAGCATTAACGTGGCGTGAATGGACGTCTGCCTCCAAAGTGTGCTGAAAAAGCTGGTTAGTGGATGCCGGCAGCGATGAGGAAGGTGGATCTTGAGGGCAATAGGACAGTGAGCATCTACCGCTTCGCTATGCTACGGCTCAAATCAGGCTGCGGCGGTAATTTGTTTGAAGGCCGGACGCAATCCGAGTGCAGTACAATCAGTTTGGTCACTTTTGTGGCGATCTGTCTTCGGTCATCCAGCTGTGCCACTGACATTTCCTTGTTGTAAATATTCTTCTACGACGAACCGCTGAATCACAACAAGACTTCCTCGTCGTCGCAGTACATGTCGGGAACGAACGTCCTACCAGTTCTTTCGCTGTCCGACATAGACCAGGCCGCACAAGTCAGTCATCCATTCTGTCTGGACCGACGCGTCGAATTCACGGACCCACCTGTTTTCCCCGGCGTAGCTGATTCTGCAAGCGTATTCACCCGCGAATGGACAAGTATCTGCGGATCATCAGCGACGCTTGCAGCAGGAGATCTTGGAGATCCAGAGGAGACCTGAGGCTTGGGGACTAGTCGTGCCGTTCCTGGAGCACCAGGATCCGAATATCCAGTTCTTTGGGGCTCATACGATTCAAGTGAAGATTGCTAGGGACTGGTGCGTTGGCCCTAGGATATATGTTACTGAATGTTTATAGTCTCCGGTGGTTCACTAGGGACCAGTTTCCCCAAGATCGTTCACTGGAATTGAGAGATACCGTGCTAGGCTTAACAACGCATGCGATCAGCACACGGCGGAATAAGGTTATCTTGCGTAAGCTATATGTATCAGTACGCACATGCCAGTCTGTCACCTCACGGCCACTAATTCATTATGGGGTTTAGCTCACGGCTCTTGCTCTGAAGCTGGTTCCCAACCAGCCTGACTACTGGCCCTCATGGATTATATCAACTGTGACCTACCTCTTAGAGCGGGGCGCGACCATGGAACACATCCTCGACTTCCTCGCGATCGTCGCGGAGGAGGTTGAGACGGCTGATCTGCTACAGCCCACCAGGTGAGTGGCAGCCGAGGCACACCGTCGTAATTTTTGAATAATGGCTTTGGTAGACTTCAGATGCGCCAGACATTACTGGATTCCGTAAGTATGGTCGTCCAGGGTATCACCACCTCCGTGCAGAAACCCTCCAATCAAAGAACGCCGGGCGAACTGCAGTCTGCTCTCAAATGTCTGGAGGCGTGGATGTCGACTCTTCCGGGGAGGTACGATACCCCGCCCCCTCCGTCTTGTCATCCCGACTGGCTAACATGACCACCAGTGACCTGACGTCGCTCATCCCGGTCCTTATTAATGTCCTCACACCCCAGCAACCATCCGCTGAGTTTGACGAGGATGTGTTCGTGCCCGCCTCGGACGCTTTGCAGGCCGTCATGTCCGAGTCCGCGCTCTCTGATGGGTCGGGGAGTAAGACTCTGACCGAGCCACTCCTAGTGTGGATACATACGTGGGGTGGACGGATCGTCGAGGCGACTCTGAGTTGTAAGTAACGCTCATACACCGTTGGCTTGACCGTGGTTAATTGGGTGCATTTCAGCGGGCTTCGCAGATGCGGTGTCCCATTCGTTCTGCAAACTCTTAGCAGCGTTGGGCGACCACTCCACCTCGTACCTCGCAGCCCATTTGGCATCCAGCACCCAGCCGTCCCCCATTTCCGCGGCGTACGCCCCGGGCGCGCTTCCCACGAAGTCGCAACTCATCCAGAATTTCCTGCGCCTGCTGCTCGCGTATACGGCGCTGCCGGGATATTACGGTGTGGATGAGGAAGAGAGTGAGATGACGCTCGGGTTCTGGTACCTCTTCCAAGAGGCTCTGTGGAGCGTAGAATATCAGTTCGGGTTTGACGAGGAGGAAGGGCAGGAGGGCGTAGACGAGTCGGACCGGGTGAGGGAGAGGGAGGGGGAGCGGCTTGAGAGAGAGCGGGAGAAGGACCAGTGGACGATTGCGAAGGCTGTTTATGGGGAACTAGTCAGTGTGCTTGAGAGGAAGGTGCGGTGGCCGCCCAGGGAGGTATTGACCAGTTGGACGAGAGGTGAGTTCTGCGGTTTTCAGATGCAGAAGCTTGTTAATTCAAGTAACCTACTCTTAGACCAGAAAGACAAGTTTCAGGTGTGAGTACGTTACTTGCCATCTCTTGCAGAGACGTTGCATATTGACCTATCACTGCAAGTTATCGACGAGACGTTGGCGATACTCTGATCAATGCGTGAGTCGATCCATCCACTGCATCGACAGGTGTCGATATCCGATAACTGAAGTCCACCCTAGCTACTATATCCTTCGAAACGACATGTTGGCCTTCTACGTCAATGGCATTGTCGAGCGGCTTAATTCCAGGCAAGAGACCGATGGTTGGGAAGTAAGTCTTCGATTCGGCAAAGTGAAGTTTCGACTACATCTATACCTTTTATTACAACAGGACATTGAAGCAACATTACATTGCATAATGTCTATCCAAGAGGCTGTCCCGGTCGAAGATAATCCGCATCTGAGACGTTTATTTGGCCCAGAGATTCTGGGCCGTCTACCGACGACCGGGCGATACCGCGTGCGGAGGACTATGTTAAGCTTGATAGGTTGGTGCATAGTATCATCCCATTACTACGTCGCTCACCTTCCCTCGGACAGGAACGTATGCTTCATGGTTCACCACTCAGCCTAATGTACACCCAGGTGCTGCCGGAACATCATTGCTCATGACAGCTGTGTCGTACGTCGGTAATGCTTTGCCGGAGCCATCGTTGTGCCTACAAGCGGCGAACGCATTGCGAGATCTGTGCGATGCGAACCGGGCAGCTCTGGCGCCGCACATTGCTGCGTTCGGCCAACTGCATGCTGGGTTGACTGGCATTCCGGTGAGCGCTAGTAGGGTTGTTGAGACGCGATCGGAGCTGAAGACATTGGTCACTGTAGGATACGGAGAAGGCGAAGGTTCTACAGTCGATTGCTAGTGTGATACAAGCGTTACCGCCGGAAGAGGAGATTCCACCGGTCGAGGTAAGGCAGGTTTTAACGGGGTATAGTTTAGTCATCACTTATATCTTTTTCTTTCAGACGATTGTTAGTCCAGTAGTGGCTAAATTGATGGAGGCTCTCCGTTCTTCCACACAAGTAGGTATTTTCCTGCTATCCATTCGCTCCCAACTCACGATTGTCAAAGCTACCGGACGATGCGCGGGCTCTTGCCATTCAGCAACTGCAAACCCTGTCCGGTGTCGCGAAAGGGCTCACCCGAACTTCTGACGGTCTTGTTGCCCTGGACGAGGAGGCCGAGGAGAGGGAAGTCCTTGAACGCATGAACCGTGCTCGCGCAGACCCTCGCATGGTCAAACTCCGAGAAGAGTTGCTAAACGCGATCCAAGGTACAGTAGAGTTGATGTCCACGGATGCAGGTGTTAGCGACGTGAGTAGCATAATCCATGCCGTCTCTTCTATAACTTAACGGATGCTTGCGTCGCAGGCGTTGAGCGATTTGTTTAAATCCATAACATCACTGCCTGCGGACGCGACGCTCATTTCTCTGCCTCCTGGACCGTTGCTGGAGCTCGTCTGCGTTGCATCCCAACGGCAGCTTACGGCAGTGTGGTTGTCTCTCGCAAGCATGCTATTTCCACAGTTGGACCCCCCACCGCCTATTGCTACTTCGCTCGTATCAACACCCAGTCCCGAGAACTGGGCGATCGTGATGAGCGTCCTCCCTGCGCTGATACAGATTTCGCTCACATTCCTGGGCCAGCCAGGCGCAATGGACGCGGTTAGTGTATACCTTTTTCGGACAAGGGTGTACTCCACTGATAGTCCAATAGAACCCTGACATAGTGCAAGCGTTCTTCTCTTGCATGGATGCGGTGCGAAATATATCGTGGACGCTCTTTCTGATAGACTGATCAGCCGTGATGTCCAGGTCGCGCGAATATTCACCAAAGCGTTCTATCAGCTACCGGATGGCTTATTCAACGCCTTAATGGACTGTGCGAGGTCTGCGCTTACATTGCAAGAACGCTACTCGCTCGTCTCCTCCTGTACTTTCCTGGTAAGCTGACCGGATGTACTACTGAAGACTTTCACGTCATTGAACTGCTACGACAGAATACGCTAATCAATCGTACAACCCGGAGTGATGATCTCGAAGAAGCTAAAGCCTTGCTGGCAAATAGATATGGTAAAGCCATCATGCAAGCCATATTGTCCGGCTTCGCGGGCGTTGCCCCCAGATCAGCGTCCCCCAACCTCATCGATTTGTTATCCATACTTCTGTCACGGTATCCAGCAGAAAGTCGAGGATGGATAGGCGAAATCCTATTCACCGTGAGTGCTACCATGAGTTGTCAGATCCGTGCTCATGACAGCTGCAGGAAGATTTCACGCCGTCCAAGGCTAGCAAGGAAGCGAAAGAGAAACTCTTTGAGGCGCTCACTAGGTAAGCCCTGCGTTGGATCGCACGCTGTGTACGCTCTAAATGTTCCTAGTTCCCGGTCTCTCAAAAGGACACGGGAGGCTGCGCAAGAATTTGTCCTGGTTGCCAGAGGCCTAGAAAATTCTAGTTTCGGGTATACTTCCGTCGTTGTGTAGAGCGCCACGTATATAATACATCAAGGAAATCTTAATTGGGAGAAGAGACAAAGACCCGGTAATGCTGAGAGGATCGATACATAATCGATTCCCGAGGCAAAGTAGAACAGCGCGTTTCCCGCCTTGCAGATGTCTCTCCTCCCTATTGGCAGGTTTCAGCGTATGTTTGTGGGTCTCCTTAGTGTCGATTTCGCACGGATACTGATACAAGTTGCTAGACTTCGTGACTTCACTAAGTGTATGTAAAGTTCCACATAAGGCGCTCAAGCAGACACCGGAACGACTGGCGAGCTACCGGGCACCTCGTCGTAGACCTTTCCCTGAAGCCAGGAAGAATGGTCGCAGTTCGGTACGCACTGTCTGCGTAACTCCGGTTGGGCGTACGCTGCCATTTCTGCTTGGCGAAGGTCCATTCTACAAGGCACATGAGTCCTGCTCCGCGCTTCTGAAGAGGCCAACGCACCTTCCACTGTGGGCACAGGATTGCCAGTCGCTTCGAATTCGTTCTGCGTATAACCCTGCCGCTCCAACACCGGAGACTTAACGGTATGGAGCTTGATGTCGTTGTGGGGTCTGAGTGCAATCAGTCAATTGAGGTATGTCATACTGAATATAAGATGGGTACCTCGAGAAGTACAGCAGTCCGAGACGATCTACATGCTGTTGATCTTTCGGAGGAACTGTAACGCTGCGTAATATGCGATGTTATCTCCGAGCAGATGCAGAGCTTCGTCGTCTTACCGATGGATGGTACTCTTCACATAACCTGCTGTCAGGAAAGATAGAGCGTCACAAGCATTGACTGTGAGTGTGCCATCCTGGGGTTTCACCCATTTCCATTCGCCCGTGCTATGATCCTTGATCTGCAGAGCGGCTACGGGTTGACGGAAGAGCAAAGTGAAGCTTCCCAGGTCTAACCAATACTCGCGTTAACGTTTTCTCTCGGTCCACTCAAAAGGTACCCACCAGTATGACCCCGTCCCCAGTGATGCATCCTGGCGTTCTCCTCCGGAGAATATTTAGAATACTTCATATATCTCAAGTGGTCCTTGCATGGGCCGCCGTTAAGTCATGCGATGATCTGCCTACATGCATCACTCACCTCGCTCTTTACCTCGTACTTGTGGATGTTCGTGAAGTAATCCTCGGGAAGCTCTAGAGCAATCGCCAGCAAAACGAAGAGGGGATCTAGGACTTCGGTATGTAGAGCCTGTGGGCTTTCTTCATCAATACTGACGTTACTATAAGGCTGTGTATACGTACTCGGGCAAACTCCTCGACCTCAGCAATGCGTTCCTGCACTACAGAAGGGTGCTCCTGAGGGAAGTAGCCGTTGAACTCTGATATACACGAGGTAAGTGCAGTACAGGATATTTTCAGAGTTGCTTACTCGGGATATTGTATATTTCTATGCGGTCTCTCAGGCCCGTGGCCTCGTCGACTCTGTACATGCTGGTTCAGCACAGAACGGAACCTTCCGCCTTCGAAGAAGGAACCTCTTACATTCGACGCCCGGCAGGCGTATAACCATTGAACTTCCCGTTATCTATGAAGAGGGTTATCAGCGGATGTAGCAGGCAACCGATAGAGACGCACCAAGGTCAGGGACATACTTCAACTTCTCCTCCAGCGACAACTCATAAAATTCCCTTCCTAGAGCAAACTGCCTATTGACCCTTTCCTGCGATATATTGAAGTTATTGACGTAGAAGAAACCCTTCTCCCTTATCGCATCGATGAGGAACTTGGCCAACTCCTTGTTGCCTTCCGGCGTCCCATATTTACTTAAATCGAGCGTTATGAGGTCGGCCCAGTCAAGGTTTTCCTGCGAAGGAAACGGGCATTCATACAGGCGCTATAAACACCTACCTGGCCAGCAGCAGGGGGGTGTACTTACCTTCGTCTCTTGGACGAACTGGTACGAACCAAGTTCTGGTGCCATTTCTGTATAGTCGCGATTTGGAGAGCTGATACAATCTCTGACTCGCAGTGTCAGAGGATTCCAGGTTCCTCAGCATCTCTTGAATCCGTCGCCGCCCTTTTGAATGCAGCCTTATCTCCTGGCTTCGGAGATTCGGACTGGCGCTCCATGCTTCCTGATTTCGACATCGCATTATTAAGATGATCTTCAGACCAGTCCTCTCATCTCAGGGAGCAATGGCGTGATAGCGAAGCCTTCGTGCACGGTAGTGTGCCTAACCCTCAATGTCATACTGCGTGCTAACTGACAGTATGTACGAGCCGTTACTATAGAACAATTGTTGACCCCGATGTCTCGCAAAGGCACGCGAGAATTTGAACAGTTGATTGTGTGTATCACTACCTCAGCTTGATTTCGTACAGATACCGATGCAAGCTAGTAGATACTGCGAGCTTCACCGCTGTCTCATAATGAAATAAGGCCCGTCAAGCGGATACCGGGACAGCCGGCGAGCTTCCTGGTACCTCGTCATAGATCTTCTCCTTAAAGCCAGGAAGAATAGTAGCAGTTCGGTACGCATTGTCCGCATAACTTCTGTTGGGCGTGCGTTGCCACTTTTGCTTGGCGAAGGTCCATTCTGCAAGGTAGAGGGATGAGCTCCTCTCCTCGCTTTCGAGAGATGATCAACCCACCTTCCATTGTAGGCACGGGGTTGCCGCTTGCTTCGAACTCGTTCTGCGTGTAACCCTCGCGCTCCAACAATGGAGACTTAACAGTATACAGCTTGAGGTCGTTGCGAGGTCTGGGTGCGATCAGTCAGTTAAGGTATGTCAGGCGCCCATAAGACGATGAGTACCTTGAGAAATACAGCAGGCCCAGACGATCTACATGCTGCTGATCTTTCGGCGGAATTGTCACGCTATGTGATATGAAAGGTGACCATAGCGTAAACACCTGCGTGTTAGATCTTACCGGTGGATAGTGCTCTTTACGTATCCCCCGGTCAAGAAGGACAGTGCATCGCAGGCATTGACGGTGAGTGTCCTGTCCTGGGGCTTTACCCATTTCCATTCGCCGGTGCTATGGTCTTTGATCTGCAGAGCAGCGACGGGTTGACGGAATAGAAGGGTGAAACTTCCCAGGTCTGCTCATTACTACGTCAGCGACACCTCCTTCCAGTTGCATCACATAGTCCTCACCGGTATGTCCCTGTACCCAGCTCGTCAACCTAGCAGTCTCCTCCGGTGAGTACTTGGAGTACTTCATGTACCGCAAGTGATCCTTTGGCGGGGCACTGTTAATTGATGCGACGATATGACTGCATGGTATGACTATGTGGCTCACCTCGCTCTTGTCTTCATACCTGTGGATGTTGGTAAAGTAATCCTCGGGCAGTTCCAGAGCGATCGCCAACAACACGAAAAGGGGATCCAGGACCTCGGTATGTAAAGCCTATGGATTCCGTCACTAACTTAAGGCGGCCAGCGAACGGGACGTACGTACGCGAGCAAACTCTTCAATTTCAGTTATACGTTCTTGCACTACTGCCGGGTGCTTCTGAGGAAAGTGGCCATTAAATTCTTGACAGGTGCGGTGAGTTCAGCTTAAGATGTCGACAGAGTTTGCTTACTCGGAATATTGTATATTTCTATGCGGTCCCTCAGACCCGTGGCTTCGTCGATTCTTTGTATGTCTGTTAAGAACCGGCAGGTCGCCTGAGATGCGAGCGAAATTCTCTCACATTCGACGTCCAGCAGGCGTATAACCGTTGAACTTCCCGTTATCTACGAATAGGATATTCAGCGCATGCACCGGAGGATCAGACTCAGGAGGCGACGTACCAAGGTCAGGGACATACTTTAGCTTCTCCTCCAGCGGCAGCTCATAGAATTCCTTTCCTAGAGCAAACTGCCTATTGACCCGTTCCTGCGAGATATTGAAGTTCTTGACGTAGAAGAAACCCTTCTCGCGTATAGCATCAATGAGGAACTTGGCCAACTCTTTGTTACCCTCCGGCGTTCCGTATTTGCTGAGGTCCAACGTTACGAGGTCGGCCCAGTCAAGGATTTCCTGCGCGAGTCAGGTCGGGAACGCTCACATTTACAGAAATGCGGCTTGCCTTCGTCTCCGGGACGTACTGGTACGAACCAAGTTCTGGTGCCATGTCGTTGGGTCAATATGGGAATGACTGATATAGGGTCGCAGTGCTAGAGAATCCCAGTTCTCCAGCATCGTTGAACCCAACGCCGTCCTTTTGAATACGTTCTTATCTCCACACTTCGGAGATTCGGACAGATTGCTACATGCTTTCTGACTCCGACACTGCATTACTATCGCGATCTGCAGACCAGTCACCTCATCCAATTGGGGTATGGTGCAATAGCGAAGCTTTGGATATGTAGGCTATGAGTGATTTGAACTTTCACATTGCGTGCTCATGGTTGAATATAGCACAATACGTTAGGCGTACCGGCGCGGTACTTGGCCTGAGTTTTCCGTCTCTAACGATTGGACTAGCATAGATCTCGAGCCCGTCAGGCCTCCTAGTATGCCACTCAAGTGATATACGGGGCGCGTCACTGCTTGGATCGGCAACTTCCGAATCACCTGTCCTGTAAGTTGCCACCGAAAACACAAACAAATCCACGACGACACACAGCAGTAAATGGGAACAACCTAAGGGAGCTCTGTGACGCCCGTCCACAGATGGGTAATCTCTTACTAGGCTACCGTTCAGTGATATGTTCATATTTGATATGCAGCTTAGCGCCGTTCCGCCGATATTGCGTGATACGGACCATGGCTCATCCCATCCCTCACCTCTCGAGGCGCAGGGGTGTCTCCCGCTTTCATGAGCCTTATTCCGGCTCAGTATCTGGTCTTTTGCCTTTGATCTCCGGCTCTATCTGTTCGGAGCACTGTCTCGATGCGTGACTGGACTCCTGCGCCAGTCAGCGCAAAGGAAGCAAGATAACAATGATGCCATGACACTCCAAAATGGCAGCATGCCCGCAACCGTTAGGTCTGCTTTTGTATAAGATCTATAATTGAAGCGTACTACGCTCTGAGTCCGTCCCGTCGACCATGGCCAGCATCAAGTCCCAGTCGACGACTCAGAGTACCCAGCTCAAGAAACGGCCTCTGAGTAGCTACATCTGGTGAGAGACTGTGACACCGTTCTCTATCAAGCGGAACTCATATCCTGGCAGGGATACTTGGGATAAATCTCCCGAGGAGAGACGGTTCCTCACGAAGTTGGACGCTTGCCTGCTTTCGTACGCGGCTCTGTCGTACTTCAGCAAATAAGTGTCTTGGCTTTTCTCACATTTTGTTCGCCTATCTAAACTGTATTTCACGTATCTTGACCAGCAGAATGTTACGGTATGTGGGAGAACGTTTGGCGTCTGTATCCCTCTGATTGTGACCGATATCAGAATGCGTATGTTTCCGGGATGCAGGAAGAGTAAGGGTGGGTTATGAACTTCACCGATGAGCCCACTGACATGAGTCACAGCCTTAAACTGTGGGTGCAGAAGCGCGCTATGGTCCTTCTTTGTTGCGAATGTTACATGGAACATCAGGCACGGGAATCAACTGAATTATATCACCACCGCCTGGACATGCGGTTATGTTATTGGTCAAATCCCGTCGAAGTAAGACGTTTTGTATGAGCTCGAATTACATCTCTAATTCCTTAAATCGTCAGCTTGCTGATCACGCGTATACGTCCCTCGATTTGGGTACCGTCACTTAGCACATTTTCGTCACCATCTCATTTACTCGGATTATCCCGACAGATTCCGGCTATGGAGGTTCTATGGAGCGTTTTAACTATGATCCTGGCGACTTCGAAGAGTTTCGAAAGTCTAGTGGTCATCCGATTCTTTGTCGGTGAGTTCGAGCCTATCTGTATGCAGTGCGTGATCGGGATGGATTCTCCTAGGCTTGGCTGAGTCAACGTTCTATCCCGCCATCCAGTATGTGATAGGTAGCTGGTACAAGGGCGACGAGCTGGGAAAGCGCGCTTGTCTATTCCACGTACGTCCAGCACCTCGGTCCAGTTTCGTTTCGACTTAGTCCCCTCAAATAGACTACAAGCGCCATTGGTCCGATGTTCAGCGGGTTCCTACAGACTGTATTTCACCTCATTTAATTGGCAAGCTCCAGGACTGACGGGGTATTTAGGGAGCGTACAATGGACTCAATGGACGGTTCGGTCTTGCGGGATGGCAATGTGCGTGTAGTTATTGAATCATGGCGTGAGTGCTGACCCGGACTGCAGGGCTCTTTATAATTGATGGGATAATTACGGTACCTATCGGGCTGTTGGGATTCTTGATAATGCCGGGTAAGTCGAGGTGACTCAACGAAGTCGTCTCCACTCCCTCAAGAATTCCTATAGACCTGCCGCACAACACGAAGCCCTCGGTACTATATACTGAAGCCCAGCTGGCTTTAGCTAGGAGACGGATGGAAGAGATAGGTCGCAAACCACCCGCCAAGTACACCAAAGAGAAGGTTTTGGGGTTCTTTAAGACCTGGCACATATGGACCCTTGTACCTTGTACGTTCTCGCTAGTGTTTCGCATGGCATCTAGCATTCGCTCATTGATCGTCGTATTACAGTATACATTCTGGTACGTCACCCCGGTATATGCCAACATTGTAACGTTAACTGTTCACGCAGTTTAACAACGGCGGAAACCCTTCCTCTTCCATGATTTTCTGGTAAATTCTAATTCATCTTAAGACTGTATAGCATATTTATGCTGTCATATGAAGGCTCAAAAGCTTTAACTCCCCCGGCCATACCGTGTACAGCATTGCTCAGATCAATCTGTATCCCCTCGGTATCAACGCGGTCCAGGTAGTAACAAGTAAGTGTCTGCCTAATTACGGGCGACCATGCTCGACTGATCACGCACCTGCAGCCTTGACATGGGCATGGTGGTCTGATGCAGTCCGCGCTAGATGGCCTCCTATGATTGTGGCAGGGGTATGTTTTCGTCTATGTCTGCTAAATGGTTTCTGGTGCTAAGATTCATAGACTTGGCAAATGGTGAACTGCATTGTCCTTGCTAGTAGTCCACTGTACACCCATATTACAAGGTGATCTCAAGTTTTTACGCCTTTCTGATGACCGGCTAACGCGTCTTGCAGGCGTTGGGTCTTCTACTACTTCGTAAGTCGTATTTCTATGCGTCAGTCGCGATAGACTGATCACGCTGGGTAGACGCTTTGCCAAGGCGGCCTGTCTGGTCTGATACTTGCGTGGGCGAACGAGCTGACTGGCTATGATAACGAAAGTGAGCAGTTCACGTCAATTTGCACGATGTGTATTCCCTTAACCCGGTCCTTCAGAACGGTCCTTTGTGGTGGCTTGTTGTAATACGTTCGCATATGTTTTCCAGGCATGGCTTCCGATGTGAGCGCACACTCCGCGCAGCCTTATCTTCCACTTCGGCGTCATTAACTGACGGCACTAGTGTGCTATTTCCTCAAGTTGAGCAGCCTAGGTACGTGGCATTCCTAAATAGCCGCGCTTCGCGCCGACTGACTCTCCGACAGAGTGCAGAAAGGCACCATCGCCACAATTTTCATCAATTTTGGAATGGGTAAGCCGAGTCTACAAGAAATTGAGCACGATCGGTCTCATACCTTATATTCGCAGTGTGCTTTGCACTGCTCACCATGGCGCTACAAAAGCGCGACGAACGACGGAAGAAGCTGCAGGAGGTGCAGGACGCAGTAGCGAATGATCCTGATGGTCTGGTGATTTTGGAAACATATGATCCGTTGTCGCGTAAAGTGTCTAAGGACTCCAAGGACTAACGAATTAGCGGGCTTAGCACGCTCGTGGTTATCGTTGCTTCCTGCTCTTGTAGCTAGGTGGACTGAGCAAGTGCTGTCACAATAGAGATCTCATGTATTTTACGACGTCTACTCCGGAGAACTCATCCCGACCTGGCACATGAAGCCTCTACTACAGTGCTTCCTCAGAGGTCAGGCTGCAACTGGTAAGTTACCAGGGTCCAGGGGCCTACGGTAACACGTTGTGGCAGCAGAATGTGACATGTGGTGCATGTCGTGTGACTTTCGTGACAAGACGCGGCAGTGTCATGTTCATCAGCAAATTTTCCCATAACTGGTGTCTGAATATAATTCGCATATAATCAATTAAAATAAATACCAGTATTACAATATGTACCAGACTTGTGGACAGCTGGGCCAGCCATTATACAGTGTCGGTCACTAAGGATCGGCGCCTCCATAGTGCCTTAATTAGGGCGCTGCAGACCTCCAGAAAAAAATTTGAAACATAAACCTGGCCAAAATATGCGTAATCCTGCAATTTCGATTTTTTGATGGATTACGTAAGCGTTCACTTTTAGGGGTGGAAATTTCAATATTGCGGATTTCGCTGAGGGAATGATCCTGGAGTTGAATGGTGTATAACAAGCATCGAAAGGTGAGGTATCCTCACTCACAGAAGTCCCAGTGCCCCTTCAGGGTGACCTTACTCCAGAAATAGTGCTGTATGAGGGCGTATTATATGATTCTAGATCTCCACAAGTCAGCTCATATGCCCTCAAGCTTACCTGACACTCTGAGTATCAAGAACTGTGTAACGAGAATGGGACCTGACATAGGGGTAGTAGACCCATTATGGGTTAACTGCATTAGGGTTAGGGTGTATTACTAATTACAGCCATCAATGCATATCTATATATGGTAACTCCGACGCAACTCCGCTTCAAATTCACTTTTCAGGTATGTCAAAATTTTAAATATTGGAATTTCGAGAAAGTAATCAGATAGCCTGAAAGCTACGGGCAATCCGAGTCGATTGGCCCTGTTTTCAGGCCCATTGGAGTCTTTGCCCGGGACGAGATACCATCACGCGTTCGGCTATGCCCGAGGCGTCGGTTTTGAGCGACCGACACTGTATTCAGATGGCACATGTTGTAAGACTCCCGCAAGAAGTACAATATGCACCAGACTTACACATATTGCAAGCTCAGGCCAGCTTGCTTTGACCCATAATCACACTATCAGCTGTGTTTTGCTTGGTATTCTACATCCCAGAATGAAATACAGACTCAACACATTGGCTGATGAACACAGTACAACATATGATTGCTCAGGCTAGCTACAATACAGGGTTTGCTATGGCTACATGCTCAATGCAATACTATCCGGGAATCAACCCCCACCCTAATCAATAGAAAACAAACCATATCACTACAACAAACTACATCAGGGTATATCAACAGGTGAGATGTTAGGGACATACCTAATGCACTAGTCATCCTGTATGCATAGAACCCGGCAGCAGTACCATAATCAAATCTGCAAAACAAATCAGAATGCTCAGTCACTAAATGTGAGGGACACACCTAGCGAGCAAGACCCAGACTCCTCCGGCAATCTAAGAACCTCTATTAATATGTGCACGCAGTAATGCAGAGAAATGGCTTACCTGCAACAGAGACGCGTCGAGACACGATGAGAGCCTCATCTAGGTTGCGCCATACACGTGCTGTAGGAAGGTACTCAGGGGGAGTTCGACGAGAGGCAGCGGGTTCACAAAAAGAACTTACCCCCGGAGAGGTACAGGAGGCGACGTAGGCGCCGCTGTTAGGACTTAGCCATGTGAGAGCTGTAGAGAGGACGTAGTCGTGATACTGGGGAGGCGCAATTCCGGGTCGCGCGGCGAGTTGTTTGCATCTGTTTGGACTCTGCAAGAAAGTGGTTGCAAATCCCCCGCCTTCATAGAGCCTTCCGCATGTTGAAATCACGCATATAAAATGTACCAGCAGGGATGTCATGATACAGAAGATGCAACGTTGGTTTTGAATTTCTGATTTTCCCAATATCAAGTTCATTCGATAGAGGTAACGAGACTGCAAGTACATTTAACAAAAATGTACAACCAACGTTGCATCCGCTCGTTGATATAGATTAACTTTTATGAATCAAGTGACGCGTGAATGTGAACCTTAGGGCCTGTTCGGTTGCGCGGGTAGGGTAGGGTAGGGTAGGGTTAAAGTGCACAGATTAGGAAATTTGTGGCGTTTCAGATACAACCAAGGAAATTTCCCATTCGCAGGTCTCGCAGAACGTGTTCGGTGGACTCAAGTCTAGCCCCAGGTCTGTCACCAGAGTGACCGCACCTGCATGGGCGTCTGTGCACGATGCCGGTAAGCCGAGCTTGACCGGTCAGTTTTAGATTATTTGGCCAATCAGCAGAGCTGGCCATTGCCGAAGAACCA